GCCTGTGGATATGGCCGGTCACCTGTCCCTGATGAACCTGCTGAGGAAGCAAATAACACACAGTGTGGCTTCCTCATGGGTCCGAGGAAGGGAGAGAGACAGTGTCCCCCGTCACAGCCATCCTCCATGCCTAAAGAGATCAGGTGTGATCGAGGAGCCACCTGGCAAGGCAGAGAGCCGGTAACTGGTGACTTGATGTCTTGCGGAGACATCATTTTGGCTTGGGCACATCTTGACTCAGGTGCAATGTTGAAAAGGGAGTGGGGCTTCTTCTGGGCCACCGGTTCCTTCTCAGAGTCCCGAGTTTGCGTCTTTTTCAGTGGAGGACTCCTTGCCTGTCTCTCCTTTAGCTGAGAAGACCCTTTAGCAGCCTCACATTGTCACATTGCATGGCTCCCGAAGGTGCAACGGCCTTGCCAGCCTGCAAAACGTGTGAGTCCCAGGTGCCAAGGCAGCCACACTTCCCCATGCCACACACGCACCTACCCGTCGCCCCAGCCTTCTGCTCCTCAGCACCCAGTGGGGCTTGCTCAGTAACTGAACTCTGTTTCTGCCTGCAGAGGGTACTTGAAAGCCAGACTTGTCGTCCTGGCTTTTCTGCAGTGTTGGTTCCGTGTGCATACCCTGTGCCCTGAGCCCCCGGGCCTTCTGCCTTGCCTCATAAGCTGTAGCAGGAGACCAAGCAGCTTCATCTTTACAATGCCACTGCAGCGCCTCCCTGAGAGGGCAGGGGAGCCCCTCTCATTGGGAACTGGTGGCTGGCATGGGGTGGTGATTGGAGTACAGACACTTCTCCCTGCCTCCTGTGGGCCAGGCCCCACAGCTGGTACATGGCACACATTCTCCGTTGGCCCTCCCAGTGCTGTTCTGTGTTAGGTCTGATCGCCCGTGCTGTACAGACCAGGTGATCAGGGTGCCAGCTTGCCAGCTGGTGAGCAGGAAGCCAGAAGCCTGAAGACAAGCTAGACTTTGTCTACCTGCAGAAAGCTTCCCAGCCGCCCCGGTAGCATTCCCTCTGCCTTGAGACTCAGCAGAATAAAGTCCCAGAGAACTGATAGTGTCGTCAGGCTGGGCTGTTCCCCTATCCTCCTGAGGGTCTCGTTTCCCTGGAGACGGGATTTTTTTTGTTGCAGAGGGCTGTGTGTGTGTGTGTGTGTGTGTGTGTGTGTGTGTGTGTGTGTGTGAGATTGTTTGATTGTTTATTTTCTGCCAACTTGACTTCTCGCTCCTGACAGTCCTGTACCGGCGTACTGTCTGCTATGTCCAGTCCTATCAGAGTCCTGCAGAGGGAGGACGGCTGGCCAGCCGCACTGGGAAGCAGTTGTGCTGCAGTTAATTTTTTAAGTGGCAAAGCCAGAATGTTTTCCTCTTCAGGAAGTGCCAGGATGTGGTGTGGGACTGACTTCTCACCCCCGTTTCTGCAGGGCTGTGTTGACGTGGATCCTCTGCTGTCGAATGAATGCCTGAAGGTTCTAGGAAGGCTTGCTAGGCCACGATTAGAAGGGATTCTGTTCTTTGTTGTCATTCAGATACAGTACACACAGGGTAAAGTGACCTGATCTAGAAATCCAAAAGGTTTATGGAAATGGAATTAAAGGATGGCATATTTTGGTGCAAAAAAAAAATGTATATTTGCGTATGAGGGATGTTCATACATTTTTTGAAAGGGTCAGGTGTTTGGCCTAGTGGTAGAGATGCAAGCTGAGAAATTCGGTTCAGTTCTGCCTTTGTTTCCAGTTCTGGCTTCCTGCTACTGGGCTCCCTGGGCGGTGGTGGGTGCTAGCCCAAGTGCTTGGCCCTGTACCACCCACCTGGGAGACCCAGATTGCATTTCCAGCTCCAGGCTTCACGCTTGGCCCAGCTGGGGCATTTTGGGGTTGTGTACCAGTGGCTAATCTCTCTCTCTCTCTCTCTCTCCTTTTAAAATTCTTTTTCCCCCAGAAAAGTTCATGGAAAAAAATGCATGTTGTGCAAAAACTGCATAGATTTCACAAATTTTATATACCCAAAATAAGCATATCTTTGGATTCCTTTTCTCACATGCAATTTGAAGCACCTTGTCTGTAGCTCCTGGCTTTCACATAGACACATACCCCCCCGAAGCTTCGGGGCCCTCTCAACAGTAGCCTGCTCCCCCCGCCCCACCTGGAGTTACAGTTCAGCTTCCTTGACTGACAGGCAGCTGGGTCAGTAACGCGTGAGCTCCACCCTGCCCCCCGCCCCCGTGGTGGGTGCCAGGGTTCTGCACAGCCGCAGTCTTGTGTTCACGGTGCCTCCTGTGGCTACAGGTGGGAGTCAGTGCCCAGCATCTGTGGCCGACTGGGCTCTGGCTCACTCTCAGTAGCCCCTGCTGGTTTCTGCTGCCCTTTGAAGAGGTTCTGTCGGGGTGGTCAGATGGTGCGGAGGGTCAGTTGCCTGCCCTGTGGATCGGAGAGCTACTGTGCTTCCAGTCCAGCTTCCCGCTAATGCAGGTCCTGGGACGCAGCAAAGGGTGACTGCAGCGTGCTGGTCCCAGCACGCCCAGGGGCTGGAGGTCCAGGCTGACCCAGGCCTGGCTACTGTGCGCCTTTAGAATGCGGAGCAGCAGATGGAAACTGTCTCCCTCTCCCCTCTTCAGATAAAATGAAAATAAAAGTTTAAAAAGTACAAAAAAAATTCTTTCAAGCATGACAGTCTTTAAAAAAAACACGTTACTGACAGTTTCAGAGAATGAAGAGACACTAGGGTAACAGGTCATCTAATCACAGGGTTGGCAAACCCCATCCTGCGGTGACATCTGCCCAGGGTTTCCTTTTATGCCATCTCTACTCTAAGAACGGTTCTTACGTCTTTCAAGGCTTATAAAACTTTTTTTTTTTAGAAAGAAGTGGGGAGGAGATTACATAACAGGAACTGTTTAGTGGCCTGTGGTGCCTAAAGTATTTATTATATGTCCTTTTCAGGGAACGCTTGCCAAACCCTGGCCTGAGCCACTGCTGGCACAGTGGTCCTTTACACAGTCACTCTTGGCAGACGCGCGCTGGAGCACTTCCGTGGGTGGGAATTCGTCCATCTCTCCCATCTATCCATTTCCTATTTGGACAGCTGAGGCTATCAGTAATTAAAAACCCTGCCCACGTGTGTCCTACACCGCACATCTGTTCCCCTGGCCCCCTGTAGAGGAGGACAGTGCCCCAAGTGGCAGTATCAGCCATACCTGAGCTGTTCTGAAGCCAGGAGCCAGGAGCTTCTTCCGATTCTCCTATGTGGGTGCAGGGTCCCAAGGCTTTGGACCATCCTTGACTGCTTTCCCAGGCCACAAGCAGGGAGCTGGATGGGAAGTGGGGCAGCTGGGATACAAACTGGTACCCACGTGGGAGCCTGGCGTATGCTAGGTGATGACTTCAGCCACGAGCTACTGCACTGGGCCCTGTCCAAGGGCCTTAAAAAAATCCCTTAATTCAGTTGAATTTAGTGGAGTTAGAGAAAAATAAAGCCAGACCACACTGCATAGGGGTTGGGGACTTCTAAGAATTCTAACTGGCAGCATGCCATCTGACAGTCATTTGGTTACCCCTTAGTTTATCCCTTAGTTAGGTGACTGGCTATGGGGTCTCTTGCAGCCAACCAGGGCTCGGTGACTGTGATTCATCTCTGTGTCATCTCTTGGGTCCAGTGCAGGTGCCTGGTCCAGATCCTTGGCCTCCCAGGGCATACCATTAACACCCACCTCTCATCCTGGCTGAGTGTGCCACGTTCCCTGTGCAGAAGCACCCTACGCTGCCAGCTCTGACATACTGCAGCTCTTCTGTGCATCACCTCCAGCCCACTCAGCATGGCATGCACTGCCACACACATGCCTCTCTCGCCTTCTCCCATTGTCCCCACCCTTCCCGGCATGTATCGATGCCTGTCCCTTCACAGAGTCTCCCTGTTCCACACTCCCCCTCGATTCTCAGCTCTTGGGCGTCACAGAGAGCACTACCTGCCTGCTGCTGCTACTCTCTGGTTCCAGCATCCAGCAGGGGGAGACACTGCAGTCATCGTAATAGCCAACACAGAACTCAGGCAGGGGAGTTGCCGTGTTTTTCCGCGGATCTTGTTAACGTGGCCTCTCATGTTCTTTTGCGGCAAAGTCATGCCTTGACATGGGTCCTCGGTCAGGATGGGAAGCGAGGGGCTGTAGTGGTCCTCCTGGAGCTATCACTGTGCTTCTAAAATTGGGCTATGTGAGTATGTGTGTGTGTGCACACGTGTGCACCCCCAGGAAGATGATGCACATAAGTTGAAAGAGTAACTTAGAAAACTCACTAGGGGCCAGTGCTGTTGTGTAGTGAGTAAAGCCTTTGATGTGGCACTGGCATCCCGTAGGGACACTAGTTTGGGTCCCAGCTGCTCCACTTCTGGTCCAATTCCTTGCTAATGTGCCTGGGAAAGCAGGGGAGAATGGTCTAACTGCTTGGGCCCCCAAATGAGCATGGGCGACCTGGATGAGCTCCTTGCACTGAACTGGACCAGCTCTAGCTGTTGGGGAGCGAACCAGCAGATGGTAGATCGCTCCCTGACTGTCTCACTATCTGACCTTTCCTTTCAAATAAATAAGGAAATCTGAAAAAAAAAAAAAAAAAAAAAAAACCTTCCTGAGGAGACTGAACTTGACAAGCAACCAGTCAGGATGGTTTTCCAAGGATTTTCTTATCAAGCAAACCCATCACAAGAAGATCTGTCTTTAGAGAGAGAAGATGGTTACCCAGATTAGGGGGACCTCCGGTTTAAAGTTGTGGTCCCTGTGTCCTGTCTTGCTGTATACTTCAGATGGTCAGGATACAAGAAAAAAAACCCAAAACACCAAACTAACAAGATGCTAATTAGATGTTGCATGGAGTTTGGGGGCCAAAATTGAAAAAACAAACCCAACCCCAACACTGTCTCTTTACTTTTTGTTTGCTTTGTCATGCCTGATCCTTCCCACCACGTCTGAGTGGGTCTGCCATCGCCTTGTGTTCTGCTGTGTTTTGTAGTGGGCAATCAAGAATGGCGGCAGTTACAGGCAGCCCCGGCCTCTCCAAATTGCAGTTTGCCCCCTTCAGCAGCGCCTTGGACGTGGGCTTCTGGCACGAGCTGACCCAGAAGAAACTGAATGAGTATCGGCTAGATGAGGCGCCCAAGGACATCAAGGGGTATTACTACAATGGTGAGTGACCATGAACCCCTTGCCCCTGCAGTGCAGCGTCAGGGAAGGGACACTCGGCTTTCACAGTCAGGGTCATTCCCTACTTCCAATTTTATAGGTGACTTGTGAGTCCAGGTCTCTTGCATTTCTTTCCCTGAGGTGTGGGGAGAGGGAAGAGAGTGGTAAAATCTGGGTCACTGGTCCGTACTGTGGGCTTCCCTTAGCAGTGCCAGGAGGAGTCGGGGCAGATTGCAAATGCTGTTTTTTTCCAATGGATCTTTTTCCCTATGCTTGGCAATTCCCTGGTGTTTATAGGAGCCCTGTCGCATTCTGCCAGCATCTGTTCAGAGGTTGTTTGTGTATCATAGATGATGGCCTCCACCCGGAGAATAGAGCTGTTCACGAGCACATTTGTTATAAATGCTGTTATTTCTGACTTTAATATAAAACGCGGTGATGCTTCTGTCCAGGTGATTCTGCCGGACTGCCAGCTCGCTTAACGTTGGAGCTCAGTGCTTTTGACATGTGAGTATTTGTGATGCAGACTCTAAAGGGCAGAACCCATTCCCTCTGGGAGAGACAGCGCTGTCCTTTCCTTTGGAGCAGGTGGACCCCGGGTGGAGCGCAGGTGCCCACCCACCCCCAGCCCCCACGTGACCCTCTTGCTATTCCCATTGAGAGACGAGCTGGATGCTTGGAGCCATCTGTTTCGCTTTCTCAGCTGGGGAAAAAAATGATTGTTTTTCAGAGCTTATTAGGGCCAAGTGCCATCGAGATTGAGAGCGAGGTAACATCCTTCATGACTCCAATTGTAGTTAATATTTTGTGTGGCTCTCTTGGTGCCTCTTGACTTTTTCCTTCAATTGCTTGTCCCCTGGACACCAGTCACTGATAGTTTATTAGGCTGGCTCTGTATGCCAAGCGTCCTGTAAGGCATTAGGATAATACACAAAGAAATAGGACAAGTACATTCTCATAATATCATTCTGTCTGCTTGGGGGTTGTGGGAGAGGGGCAAGGATTCACCAAGCACGTAAGTAGCCAGGCAGTTTTATGGATGTAATCAGTTCAGACCCACCTAAGGGCAGCTTTTTTCTTATTTTTCAGATAAAACGGAAATGGGTCAAAAGGCACAATGGCTTGCTCAGGGTCACACCGTGTAGGGGTGAGAGGAAGATACAACTCTATTCAGAAATGCTTGGGGGGATTTTCTTATACAGGAATAGAGGCGGTGGGCTGGGGAGATGATTTCAGGAGGAGGCTAAGTTTATCTTAGAGCGTGTTGCATTGGAAAGGTCCAGGGACCCCTCAAGGTCATCCACCTGGGGGAGCTTGTAGGGCTGTGTGTAGAGAGGTCTGTCGGTTACGACAGTGCTGGGAGGTACACGTCCTCGGTGGTGGGGGTCTGGATTAGAGTCCCAGCTCTGCTGCTCGGCTCCGGATCCCAGCTTCCTGTAATGCGCACCCTAGGAGGCAGCAGGCGACAGCTCAGCTGCCGGGTCCCCGTCACCCGTGTGGGAGGCTACGGCTGGTGGCTCCTAGCTGCTGGCCTTAGCCCGACCCAGGGCCAGCTGTTGTGGCGCGCATGCTCTCTCTCTGTTCTGGTGTGTGTGCCTCTCCAATAAAAAAGACAAACATTTTGTAAAATATCCCCCAAAAAAATTAAAACCAAAAAGCAAATAAAATATCCCTGGAGTTTAAAAAAAATACTCAAAAGTTCAACACCTTCTATTCCTTTATGTCAGCCCAATTGCAAATTCAAAAGCATTACATAAATCCAAAGCAATTTCAGGCTTGCTTTCTTTCAGAATATGTCTGTGTTTCTGACTTCCATCTGCGTCTCCTTGGTCCATCATAAATCCCTTATGATCACCTGTCAGAACATATGAAATTCTGATAAGCTGTCTTCTGTCTTGACAAAGTCAACAGCATGCAGGCATCTCGTTGTCTGAAGGCGATCAAGGGCTCATTCTGATGAAATCTGAAATATCTTATTGTTACCCCCAAACTATTCCTTGACCCTGTTTTGTCCACAAGAGCAGTTTCTGCAAGTTAGGTTTGATCTTGCTGTAAAACCCAAGCACTTCGACTTCGGTCACTCGGATGCAGTGTGACCCTCAGCTCCCTGTTTCACACACTCGGCTCTCTCACACCGCTTGTGTGTTTTCCTTGGAGCACTGAGCCCACCCAGTACGCAAGGTGCTCCTTGGGCAGCCTCAGGGAGTGGAGCAACCGAGTGCTCCCTTCTGATGGCTCACTCCCCCGGTGTTTGTAACAGCCAACACCAGACCAGGTAGAAGCTGGGAGCCTGGAATGCCACCTGAGTCTCCCCTGTGGGTGGCAAGGACCCAACTTCTTGAGTCATCACCTACTGCCCTCCCAGGGGATGTGTTAGCAGGAGTCTGATCAGGAACAGGTCCATGACAGCTCAGGCACCTGGACAAGGGATGAAGGGCCCCAGCTGGCAGCTTACCTGCTGAGCTCGACACCTGCCCCAGTCCAACTGGGTTTTTGCGCTTCATTGATCTCATCTCTGAATTGGGCTCTTGGCGAGCCCCTCTGTCTTAGGGTGGGTGGGAAGTCTAATGGAAGCACTTGGGACCCCTCAGAAGACAGGGTTTCCTGTGCATCCAGATGATCTTGCCCTGTCTTCCCTGGCACCAGGCACACCAAGAGCAGTGAGATGGAGCTGAATTCTCGCTGTCCTGGTGCTCACCTGTGGCTGCCAAGACTGTCTCTTCTTCATGGCAGCAGATAAATCCCTTTCACCTCCTAGTTCTAGGAAGTCTTCAGTGCTTCTGCTGCCAATTAGTAACAAAGATCCAGTCCTGTGTTTGGGTTCAGCGAGTTATCTATCAAATAGCATTTTCCCAGGCACCAGGTATCTTGAGTCGGAGGGTGACAAAGGAGTTCCCAACACAGAAAAGGTTTGTATTTGGTCCTCTTCATGGTTCAGGGCTGGTGGGCCAGCCGGCTTGTGGTTCATAGGTCTCAGAGCCCCATGGCCTTGGCCTTTGTGTGCTCATTAGGGCTGTCCTGTCCTTTCCTGGTAACATTAAATAGGGAAAGAGAGCAGATATGGAAGTAGGGGGAGGAGATACCCCCCAGGTTCCCAGGGACCCTGGCTGGGGAGGGACAGCCACTCCACTCAAAGTCCCTTGGGGAGAGCTAGGACCTGCCTGTTTCACAAAACACACTGGGAAACGTCTTCCAGTCTCTGGCATCACACGTGTATCTGTGTCTGTGGGGGAGGGGACCAAATGTGTGTCGACAGTGTGCACCGGGGAACTTCTGGAAAAGTTCTTCCCCTGAGCCTCACATGATAAACACCTGAAGGCCTTATTATTATTTTATTTATTTGAAAGTCCAAGAGAGATACAAACCCGGCTCTCCTGACTGCTGGTTCACTCCTCCACTACCCACAGCTGCTGGGACTGGGCTAGGCCAGAACTGGAGGTCAGGAACTCAACCCAATTCTCCCGCATGGGTCTCAAAGATTCCCTCACTACTTGAGCCACCACCACTACCTCCCAGGACGCGCATCAGTGGGAAGCCAGAGCTGGGAACCCAGGCCCTCCTGAGGGCGCTCACCTGCTACCTGTGACCAACACCGGGATGAAGGTGTTTCCTCTTCCTCCTGCTCAGTGTTTGGTGTTAGTCGTAGTAAATACCCTTCTCTGGGAGTCCTCATCCTTGGATTGGCGACATCAAGAATATTGTAGAACTATCAGAATCACCTGGGCAGAACCCTTGGCGCGTGTATCCCATCAGGCCCAGGGTCCATACTGGGTGGCCATTCCCCATCCCTGGGCACTGGGGAGGTTGGGAGGTTGGGCTCCTCCCCTTATCTCCTCCCTTCTCCCAGAGACAGGGAAAAAGAAATAGAAAATTTGAAAACAATGATCACTCCCACTTTTTCCTAACCCTTGACCTTCCCACCCTGATCAACTATGTAAACTTAATAAAAAATAAAGTTTAAAAGAATATATTGTTCTCTGCAAAGCCTCGCAGTAGACTCAGAGAACCACTCCCCAAGAACTTAGGAAATCGCTGTGGGGGTCAGAGGCTGTCTCGTTCGCCATGGCAGCCCCCGTGCCTTGTTAGGGTTGATGTGTGTGCTTGCAGACTCCATGACTGGAACTGTATCACAGAGCAGTCTCGGAGCATGGCTCTCAGCCGAGTATCGGCTATTATGGCCCTCTAGGAAGTAGGCCAGCAGATGGAAGATAGCTCTCTCTGTCTGTTCCTTCCTCTCTGTATAACTCTTTCAAATGAAGAAACCGATACATCTATTTTAAATGCAGTCATTAATTTTTGGTAAATTAACAGGATTGTGCATCCATCACCTCTCTCTAATTCCAGAACATTCAAAAAAGAAATCTGTAGTGATCTCTCTCTCTCTGTCCCCTCGCTCTTCTCTTCCTCCACTCTGGAAATCAGCTTTTTGTCTCTGAGGATTTGCTTACTTTCCATTTCCTATGGATGTAATCCTAGGAGATCTAAGTGTTTGGGCTGGGATTGAAACGAAGGTCTCTTGTCCCCAAGAGACAGGCACTTGCTTTCCAGGGCCTCCTCCCTTTTTAAAAATTTGCTTCCCTGCCCATCTCCTTTGCTTGGGCAGTTTGGCCTCTCTGACCTCCCCATGTGCGGGCTCCCTAGAGGCCTGACCATCTTGGCACCCCTACCTCCCCGAGCGAGGCTTTGGCACAGTCCTTACCACCTGGAAACACCTGGACCTCCAGGAAGACGGTAGCTTCCTTTTCCTTGCCTGCATCCTGACTAGGTGGTGGTGTCCTTCCCGCTGTCCGGCAGTAGTTCCACGTGGCTAACTCCGGGTGTAGAGGCATGGTGACCAGTGCTTCGCTTCCCTCCCCTTTGCTGTGAACCTTATCTTGCTCCTCCCCACCCCCGCCAGCGTGATTTCTCTGTCTCCTGCAGACTGTTGCATGGGCTCTGGGCCGTGGTGTTTGAGCCATGAGGACCACATGTGACAGGGCCATGGCCACTCACTGCACCCCTCCACACCTGCCACAGGTTTAGTTCTCTCCTGCTTCAACTTCCCTGAACCCAATTTGCACCGACTCAGCATCTGGAAATGCTAGGATTCCTTAATACCAACTCCTGCAGTGCGGACTGTCCACGGGAGCCCTAGGAGTCCACAAGAAGAAGCTACTAATGAGATGGACATTTCCATTCAGCTTCCCTAACCTCTGAGATACATATAATCATCTCAGAGAAGAGGACCAGCTTTGTCTACACCCGAATCTATATTCAGAATCCACTCATTTTTCCTCTTTCTGACTCTAATTGCTCTGAGGATTCCGGTGCCTTTGGGGGCAGCCCAGACAGATTGACAGGTGGCCCAGGTGGAATGCGTTTTGTCTGCATTGCTTTCAGACAGCTTTGCTGCAGTTCTTGGCAGAGCCCTGTGTGGGCAGTAAGACATGGGGCATCATGAGGGGGCTGACTCCCACTTTGGGGGTTGCTGGGCTCTGGTGGAGGGTAGGGGCTAGTCAGCATTAGGTGCCAACTTTGACCTGACTGGGGACACGTCCATCTGGGAGGTGGGAGGACTGGAGCAAGGCCCTGAAGCCAGGAAGGGTTTGTGGCACGGTCCTTTGGAGTCCAATAGTTTTGGGTTCAGGTCCAGCTCTGCTGTGATGTGGCTTTAGATAAGCTGCTGAAATCTTAGTGTGGGCAAGGAGCTGTTAACGATCATCCAGACCTCACAGGGTTCCTGGTTCATTACTGAGAGACAGTAACAAGAAGGAAAGGGACTCCCGGGCCTGCGCGAGCTGGAGCCAGGCAGGGAGGGAACAGTGTGTGGGGGTTGGGAGAGATATCTGGCCTCAGTTCCTGAGTCATGATACCCAGCTTCTGCCCAGGAGTGTAGTCCAGTCTTCTCCGTGCCCTCCAGGGAGGCACCTTTGGTTGCTAGCTGCCATGTGGCTAAGTTGTTGCATCCTGGCTGGCTGTGGGCCCCTGTGGTGTCCAGGTAACCGTGTGTCTTTATCTTGCGCCCAGGAGTGCCCCTACCCCTGCTCGCTGCTGCCCAGCCCTGGGAACGCTGTACAACACCAACACGCTCGAGTCGTTCAAGACCGCGGACAAGAAGCTCCTGTTGGAACAAGCAGCAAATGAGGTCGGCTGGGGAAACGTGCTGCATCTGTCTTGGAAAATAGTATATGTAGGCGCTGCCTAGAGTTGTTTGTGGATGCCGAGCTGTTTCCCCAGGGAGAATACCCCCAGCTGTCTCCTTCCGTGTGGTCTGGAAGGTCAAGGAGAAGAGCTCCAGGGTTGCCTGGCCTCTTGGAGCAGGTTCCTGTGAGTCAGGGCCTTCCTGGTCCTTCAGAGAGCCTTGGCCTGTGCCCCACCATGCTCCAGGCGGTGACTAGGAACCCTGCTGGCTCATCAGGGTGGAATTCAGTCACTTCACCTGCCTGGCAGTGGCCTGGGCCCCACTGACGTCAGTCCTGAGGCTGTGTCCTTGCTTCCTCAGACTCAATCACAGCAGTCATTTAAAAGCACCCTTTACCTACTTCTGTTCTCTCCCTCTCCTGGACACTGCTTCTCCCTGGAATGCCTCTCCTTTGCTGCTTCTGCAGGAAACACGTTCACCTGTCCACCTGTAGCGCAAGAACGAGTGTCTGATGAGCAGGTAGTTCAGATCCTAACCTACAGGTCCCTCCCCTGCTTCCTCATTGGCTGAGTACTAGTACTGCGGGTACACAGTCTTTCCGGAAGTTGCCTAAGTTACGAAGTTACCTTCCTCCTCCCTTCTCTGTCCTTTAATTTCCTCTTCCCCAACATCATGTTGGCTATTCTGTGTTGAGTGTCATCTTTTCTCACACACAGCATCTGAGTTAGAAAGTGGGATCAGAGTGGGAGGTGAGCATAGTTGTCCCTTAGCCACCGAACAGAGAGGTGGCCGGAAACGCCAGGTCTCACCTCTCTGGGTAAGCCAAGTGATTGGCTTCCTTCATGTCCCTCCTGGGAGACACGGACCCTGATCGGATGGTGTTGGTTATTGTTCTCGACCTGTGGCTTGCTTGCCTGCCCTGGGCCTGCTGTTGGTATCCCTGGAAGGGCATCTCCAGAGTTGGGTCAGGGTCTTAGCCAGCTGAACTGAAGCAGGTGCTCCCCCAGGGCGACCCAGCCATCCCTCCCCAGGGCTGACACTCCACCTCCCTGGCCCTTAGGCACCTGCTCACATCTCACTCCTTTCCTCTCTTCTGGCAGATTTGGGAATCCATTAAATCGGGGGCTGCCCTAGAAGACCCTGTGCTCCTCAACAAGTTCCTCCTCCTGACGTTTGCAGTGAGTATGGGCTCCCTGTTGCTCCTGGGACTCGGGGACCTCCCCTGGAGCAGCCCCCCGGGCCCCCGGCCGCTCCACACCGTACTCTCTCAAGTCAGCACCTGTGTTACTCCCTACAGCTGCTCACTGACTCGCTCGGTCCCCTCATTTAATGAGCAGCTGGCTGATGCTGGCAGCTGTTACCATGGCAAAATGAATCTGGTCCTGCTGATCTCCTGGTGGCCGCTGCAGGCTTAACGCACCCAGTACCTGGCTGCTGCTGTCCAGGGCTTGACAGCTGGGCTTTGTGCATCGCAAGCCTGTTTGTTGCATGCCGCCCCACAGAACTCAGTGGCTGTGTCCGTCCTAATGGGGGGGCTCCTGACTTAGAGGAAGTTGTGTCTGTGGCTTGACCATGCAGCTGGTCAGGAAAGGAAAGTGAGATCTAATGCGCATGATCACGAGGGGCAGTGCTGCAGGACAGGAGGGACTGTGGCAGCTGCTGCCCTGGGCAGGGACCTTGTCTCTGAGGGGAGAGCAGGGAACGGCTGAGAGATTGTGGAGACACACGTGGCATGGGTGTGTGCACGTACGGGGAAACTTCAAAAAGTTTGTAGAGAATGGAGTTAAAAGATTGTTTTGTGCAGAAAGTTTTGAAAACCCATGAAGGTTTTTTTTTTTTTAAATTTTATTGACTTGATTTTTGTTTGAAAGGTAGAAAGAGGAGATAGTTCATTAACTGGCTCACGCCCAGGTGTCCACAGCAGCCATGGGCGTGCCAAGTGAGAGCCAGGAGCCAGAACTCATTAAAGAGTTATTTATTTATTGAAAAGACAGAGTTAAGGAAATAAGGAGAAACAAAAAAAAAAAAAAAAATGGAAACCCTCCATCTGCTGATTCATTCCTCCAATGGCTGCAGTGACTGGGTCCGAGAAGGCCCAAGCTCAGAGCCTGGACCCTGTGGGTGGCAGGAACCCAAGCACCTGAGCCACCCTCCACTGCTTTCCAAGTGCATTAACAGAAAGCTGGATCAGAAGTAGCACAACTGGGACTTGAACCAGTGCCATTGTGGGAGGCCGGTGACACAGTCAGTGGCTTAACCCACTGCACTACTGTACCGGCTTGGACCATCAGCTTCACAGGGTGTGCTTTGGCAGAGAGCGGGGTGAAAGCAGAGCTAGCATCCCAACCAGGCGTCTTGATAGAGGGTATAGATGGCTAAAGTGGTGTCCTAGTTATTGTGTCTAATGCCCGCCCCCAGTTTTTACGTAATTCACAATTTTTATGAACTTTTTGAAGATTCAGAGATATCATTTAATTCCATCATCTATGAGGTTTTTGAAGTGCGCATCAGTTGTGTCTAGCATTCACTGTTACGAAAGGGGTCACAGTGAGCAGAATTGGTAACAGTGGCATTCTCCACCTCTCGCTCCCTTGGGATGAGCTCTGGGGGGGGGGGGGAGATGTCGCCACACTTTAGCTTATTTCACCACAGTTCCGTCAGCTTTGATTGTCCTCTTCCCCACTTTTTTTTTTTTTTGCCTTTACCGAGTTGTAAGTTTGACCCTGCCTCCTTCCCCACTGTTGTCTTCCTAATTTTGGGAAGATTAGAGAGAGATTTCCAATCTGCTGTTTCCTCCCCAAATGCCTGTATTGTCCAGAACGGGGTGAGACTGCAGTCGGGAGCTGAGAGCTCACTCCAGGTCTCCCCGTGGGTGCCAGGGCCCCTCCTGGTTGAGCCATTGGTGCCACTTTGCCTACTCTGCGTTAGTGAGAAGCTAGGTTAGGGAGCCAGGCTCACGCCCAGGGACCCTGCTCAGGCATCTGAGCCACCCTGCTAGGTGCTTGCCCCTTTAAATAATTAACCATTTCTTTTTGAGCCTCAGGCATAGAACTCTGTGTTTAATTTGGGGAAATTTCTTTGTTACTTGGGGGAAAAAATGTCCCAATAAATCGCAGGCTTTGGATTCATGGAGATGGATGACCTGTCGGGGGCGGCAGACTGTGTGAGGTCCTTCCTCTGCAACTGTCAGACTTTTCAGCAAAGATGAGTGTTGATGGCTCACTCCAGCACAAAGCATCGTCTTTGGGGGTGATTTTTGCCTGCTTTTTGCCATCTTTGGGACTTAAAGAACCAGATATATCAGTCCTTTTTCAGTAGTCCAGTGTGTTTTGCCATTGTGGAAGGGGAGTTTTTCCTTTGTTGAGCGATTAGTGGCAGAATTAAAGACTGCGGAAACTGTAGTTACTCAGCATTCCCAAGTAAGTGTGTGTGTGTGTGTGTGTTTGTGTGTTTACAAAGTTGTCAGTATAGGGAGAGTCTAGGGGAAATACATGGAGACAGAAAAAGTCAGTGGTTACTAGGACAAGGGAGAGGCAAGAAAGAGGCACCTTCTGTTAGGGCGCATGTGGTTTCCTTCGGGGACATTGAGAGTGTTTAGAAGCTGTTAGTTGATGCTGGTGCAGCATCTTGATGCCCTAAAAGAAAGGCCTACTAAATTGTCTGCTTTAACTGGGTAATTTCAGGAATCAGGTCTTTATTCTTAGCAAAATTCAATGAAAAATATCCCTTACGGGCCCAGCGTGGTGCAAGTGGTTAAGGTCCTTGCCTTGCATGCCCGGGATCCCATATGGGCGCAGGTTCTATCCCGGCAGCCTCGCTTCCCTTCCAGCTCCCTGCATGCGGCCCGGGAAAGCAGCCCGGGAAAGCAGTCGAGGACAGCCCAAGGCTTTGGGACCCTGCACCCGCGTGGGAGACCCGGAAGAGGCTCCTGGCTTCGGATCGGCATAGTATCGGCCCGTTGCGCTCACTTGGGGAGTGAATCATCGGATGCAAGATCTTCCTCTCTGTCTCTCCTCTCTGTATATCTGCCTTTCCAATAAAAAAAAGAAAAAGAAAAAAAGAAAAATATCCCTTACTTCTTGATCAAGTGTGATGAGAACACAGTGCTGGCCTCTCTGCTTGAACACTACTTGGAAGTTATGCTGAAGCCCACCGACTGGAAATGACCGATTGGTGTATCGTGTTTGCATGACTTACATATAACCTTCAATGCTATATAAATAGTTGTTATGCTGTTTTGTTCAGAGCAACCACAAAATAAGAAGAAGAAGAAAAAGGACATACATACATGTTTAGTACAGGTGCAGTTTTGTGAGTGAATATTTGTAACCCATGATCCAATCCATGATGGCGAGACCCATGGAACCGTGTGAACAGCACAGCTTCCTTGCTAACCTGTTCAGAGCGATAGACGGGAGAGAGTGGTAGCCACGTGGAGCTCGTGGAGCTCAGCATTGCCTTTATCCTTATATAGTCAGTGTGTGGTAAGGGAGACTGTTTCAGAGTCAGATGGCGTCCTGAATGCTGAGTTGTGGTAGTGATGAGCGCAGGGCGAGGCAGGTCTTTTTTGTGTACCTCGGCTTTCCTGTTTTCATTGACTGAGAAGTTACATGAATAGGTGTGTTTCCGTTCAGTTTTTGGCACTGCACTGACTCTCCGTGTTACGTCTTCTGTTCTAGGATCTGAAGAAGTACCACTTCTACTACTGGTTCTGCTGTCCTGCCCTGTGTCTCCCAGAGAGTATACCTCTTATCCAGGGGCCAGTGAGTTTGGATCAGAGCTTTTCACCAAAACAGGTACCATCAATCGAAAGTGCAGGTAACGTGGGGTCTGACGTGCAAATGTCAGTGTCTGCACAGACAGGCGCAGCTCAGGGTAGGGGCTTGGTAACTCTGGAACCCTCCCAGTCCCAAGAGCAGATTTCTTGCCAGAATGTTGTCTGTCGTTTTGCAGAAATATCTAGTGGGCATTTACCAGGTTTTTTGTGGCTTTTGGTGAGTTGCTAGGCTGACAGCAAGGAATTACAGGAACCTTTTGAGAAACTGCAAGAATCTGTTAAATGGGGCCTTCTTGGTCAGTGGAGGGACACATAGGGCTACATACTGCAGGAAGAAGAGTGTTTGAAGTGAGACATACCCTCTGCCCTCGTGCCTGGAAGCCGGACAAGCCTGTCAGGAGTGACCTGTGCAGAGCTAGTGGCTGCCATCCCATCGGGAAGGGGCCTAGGCTCTTGAGACGATCTCGAGCAGAGCTATTAGCAGGATCAGGCTGTTTAGCTCAGACATAAATCTGAGAGCTCTGCTCACTCCCCCAGCCAGGACTGAGTGTCACCATGACTGGAGTTCCCGAAACACACCAGTCCCTGAGAGGTCAAGGCTGAAGCCAGGGAGCAGCCGTTGCTGTTGAAAAAAGAACGCCAGGGCCAGATCCTTGACTGCAAGTCCCCAGGCACAGCTTATGGGACTCACTTCCCCAGCAGCATTTAGTGGGAGCACAGGGGTGAAGAGTTACACTTCAGGTTTGACTGCTGTCGGGAGACATGACAATCCACCTCGCTGGTGGGTACACACCCGTATGACCTTATGCAAGTATGCATTGTGCTGTGGCGCTTTGTGCAGTGTTTGAAGGGTATCCTGAGAACGGTCACGGGCAGGTTCCATGTTCAGGGTCCTGGGAGGCTCCAGGTTGCAGACCTGCATGGGGTGGCTTCAAGCCGTGCTCCCACAGGAGATGGAACACTTGGTTCTCTGACCTCCATGATTGGCAGCCTCAGGATCCAGCACACTGTGCCCCGTCCAAGGCACACACCATGCACCTGCCTCGGGCTGCACAGAAGTTGCTTGGCATCATTTAAGTGCACTTTCACGTTCATCTGCGGCAGAGGAGGAGCAGGGGTACAATCGCTCATTTCCAGTCGGTGGGCTTCAGCATAGCTTCCCTCTCGTGTCAGTTGTCCAAAGAGTACCTTCCCGTTTCGTCTTGGCAGATTGAAGCACTCAAGCATGCGTACGACGACCTTTGTCAGGCAGAAGGAGTCACGGCCCTCCCTTACTTCCTGATCAAGTATGATGAGAACACAGTGCTGGTCTCTCTGCTTAAACACTACAATGATTTCTTCCAAGGCCACAGGACAAAGGTGAGAGAAATTTTAGTTCACAGGAAAAAGAAAAATCCGAAGCTCATGCTGTAACAGATAAAGCCGCCTCGATTTCCTTAGCTTGTCAAAGGGTGATGACATGCTGCCTGCTCTGCCTCCTCCTGCCCCGACATCAGCTCTTCAGCGTTTCCTGGCCCTGTCACAGCTGTGGATTCCCTACTCCCCATTGGTGATGCAGTTGTTCAGGGTTCTCCCTGGGTGTTTTTGCCTCCTGACTTTGGTTCACCCCTGGACACTCGCTCCCCTCCGTCTCACCCGACACCGCTGCAGGACAGTCTTCCTTCAGCTACTCATGCTGCTTGCCTTGCGGTTGCCCCAGAGCCCACGCGTTTGCCTTTTGGCCCCACCTGTCTTCTCCCCTTGTCCTCCGAAGCCCTGGCTCAGGATTTTTATTCCAGCAGATCCCAGCCTCCAGACTACCAAAGAAATACACAGAACTTTCCCCGTATTTTTCTTTTTTGTCCCTATTGTGTCATCTTTCCAAATGTCCTCTGCCAGCGGCGATGGTGCAGAGCTCCCTGTAGAAATCTGGCCTCTGTCACTAGGCCGTCTCGGGAGTGGCACTGTGTGTGATCCGTCCCTCTCTGAACTCTGCTCTTGCTGCCCGTTCCTGGGTCACAGAGCCAGGGCCTGTGCAGCGTCCTCTGTGTGCCATCGGGCTGGGTGTTCCCGGAGGAGCAGGACCAAGTGTTTCTGACAACAGCCGGGGCCCGGGTCATGCTGGCATGGCAGTGGAAGGCGCTTTCCCATGAAGAGGGGCTTTCTCTCCTTGGTCTCCTGATGCTGATTCTGTAAAGTAGGTGTGATGAAGTGGCTGTCTTTTCTGTGTGAAGAAGGGAGACTGGAGGGTGCCTGGTCAGACCATCTGGTTCCTAAGCTCTGGCCCTTTGTGCTTGCCACTGACTCATCACCCAGGCAAGGCGAAGGCAGCCTCCATGGGACCTTTCCGATCCCAGAGACCCAGATCTGACACGGCTTTGGGGGTTTGTGACCTCAGGCAAGTCACCAGACCCTGCCTGGCCTGATCTTTTGGTGAGATGGTGCTGGCACTTACTCCCCACGGTTCTGGAGTGATTAAGCAGACACCATGAGTCCAAGGGCCAGCACATAGCAGTGGCAGTGTACCCACTTCCCTGATCCAAACCCTCCCGCAGTGACACCCCATTGTCACCTTCTCCGTGCTCTGACAAGAGCAGCTGAATTCCTTACTGTGACTCCAGCACGCATGTGCCGAGTTATGTGGCCTGCGAAAGTTAGCTTTCATGTGCTCTGGCCCAGACACATTCACTCTCCTTTCTCCGCTTCTTTCTCTGCCATCTTAAATGCTCAGTCTTTCTGTACATCTAAATTTAACCATTTCCTCAAGAAACCTTCGATGTCCTCTGTCGGAAGGTGTACTTGTTCTTTTATCAGTTCTTAGAGAATAATGTATAACTCCTATGACGGGTTCTTAGAGCACAGCGTTCCCCTCCTGTGATGGGTTCTTAGAGCACAGTGTGGCCCTCCTGTGACGGGTTCTTAGAGCACAGTGTGGCCCTCCTGTGACGGGTTCTTAGAGCACAGTGTGGCCCTCCTGTGACGGGTTCTTAGAGCACAGTGTGGCCCTCCTGTGATGGGTTCTTAGAGCACAGTGTGGCCCTCCTGTGACGGGTTCTTAGAGCACAGTGTGGCCCTCCTGTGATGGTGTTGCAAGCTGTCCAATGATATCCCACAAATGAGTTAGAGGCAGACTCTTCAAACTCGAAAATTTTTATTCAGCAGCTGGCGGACTGTCCCGTACCGCCACAAGTGAAAGAGGGGTCCTGATGGGCCCATGTTAGGAAATTTTAAGCTCACACTAGCATGAAAAACTTTCCAATCAACTCTAGTTGATTGGGGGAAAAAAAACTAGTATTGACACAATGTGATGAAGGGGTAGCTCAAAACTTCTTCTCTTTTCTAAGCTGGGCGATCTTTCCCCCTGCGTTATAAAAGACCTGTGTTTTGGCCTGGGCTGTCATGGGAAACTTTACAGCTGACTGCTAACCTGAGGAGAAGGGAGAGGTAGACCAGCTGCAACTCACCTGCCAGGCACCATTAAGAGAAGCAGTAACATTGTCAGTTATGTCACTGTCTCTGTCTAAACATTAATGTCTCTGGTCTGATGTGGTCTCTGCTCAACCTCATAACATATCTGGGAGGTCCATTAGTCCAAATATTGTGTACTTAAACCATCCCATGGCAAGTTTTATATGGACTAAGAGCTGTGTCCTGCTTGGTAGGCAGGAACTGAAGGAAGCAAGCAAGTCAGCTTTGCACCTAGTGAAGTTTTTGAGTAGAATGTAAATGTTTTTCTAATATCTGGTTCTGCATGTGTGTCCCTAACGAAATACATGTTTTTCTGGTCTTCCTAGAATTCATGTAGACTTAGAGGGCCTGACAAAAGTGACACCATTTTGAATTTTTGGGCTGTCACAATGGGTTCTTATAGCACTCATTGCAGCATTTAGCACAGTTATAATTTTTTTTTGAGGGGGTGGGGGTTGAGAGACAGACAGAGCTTCCATCCACTGGTTCATTTCCCCAAATGCTTGCAGTGCCTGGAGCTGGGAATGCAATCCAGTGTCCCATGTAGGTGACAGGAACCAAGCCAGAGGTGGGAATCTAACCCAGTACTCCGATGTGGGACATGGTGTCTTCATTCCCGGCCTAGATGCATGCTCCCTTATAGCTGTAATGTTGAGTAATCTTTGGTTAATACCTTTTTTTATCCTTTTTAAGTGAAAAATTTCCACAGGGCAGTTATTCCCTGTTTGCTTTCCCACTGTTGCACCTGTGTCTAACGTGGTGGAAGAGTGTGCAGGCTCATGGGGGTTGGGAGGACTGGCGATCCCAGGCACCTGGGTCAGCACCTGACACACGGGACACGGAAGCCTGTGGTAAGTGGTCAGCGGCTCCTGCCGTGGCTGCTTGGAAGGATGCCCTCTGCTGTTTTCTGCTGTTTCGTTTGCCAGGACTTCCCTGAACTATCAGTGCACCTGCAATTCCCATCCACTGAGTTGCAGTGGAGGTGTGTGATTTGACGGAACAGTAGGTGGAGGATGTATGGAGGATCTGCAAGGGGACTTTTAAGATTTATTTATTTTTATTGGAAAGCCAGATATACAGAGAGGAGGAGAGATGGGAAGATCTCTCTGATGATTCACTCCCCAGGTAACCGCAACGACCAGAGCAACTGATCCAAATCCAGGAGCCAGGAACCTCCTCTGGGTCTCCTATGCAGGTGCAGGGTCCCGAGGCTTTGGGCCGTCCTCGACTGCTTTCCCAGGCCGCAAGCAGGGAGCTGGATGGGAGTGGGGAAGCCATGATTAGAACTGATGCCCATATGGGATCCTGGCATGTTCAAGGCAGGGACTTTAGCTGCTAGGTCACTGCACTGGTCCCAAGGGGACGGGTAGAGCAGTTACTGTTATTTTATTATTTTGGTTTAAAGATTTGTTTAAACTCTCCATTTATGAAAGGAAAGTTCCAGAGACAGATTTTCATCCTCTTGCTCGCTCCCCAAATGGCTACAATGACCAGTACTGGACTGAATCCAGGAGCCAAGAACTCCATGCTGACCTCTCCCGCGGGTGGCAAAGCCCATGTGTCTGAGTCATCTTCTGTTGCCTTCCCAGGCACATTGGCAGGGAGCTGGATCAGAAGTACAGCAGCCAGGACTTGAACTGGCACTCTGATGTGAAGTGCAAGCATCCCAGGCAGCAGCTGAGGATACAACGCCAGCAGTGGTTCTTAATTTGGGTTGGGGCTACACATAAATGCAAAACCTCATTGGCAGCACGTTCCTTATGCCAGGAGAACAGGTGTGTGCATTGGTACCTCTCATGTCAGGACCCACAGAAGCTTATAGTCCCTTTGTGAGTATTCATGATCCTGGCTTGCAGGAAATGAAGGGAAAATGGGAGTGGCTTTCCTGGGTGGATGCCCATTGGCTGCTGAGGTCAGGAGGGTGCGAGCCATTTACCATCTGCCATCAGACAAGGTCTTGGTGGTGCTGCCATCAGAACAGCTGGTGGTGCTGCTTAGCCTGCCCACCGTGAGCCTGGGCTGCCCCTGGGCAAAGGAGGCCCTGCCTCAAGGGAGCCCACTGCCGTGCTCTGAGGCTTGACTGTGTTCCCAGGTGTCCCCACTAAGCCTCATGACATCCTACCTGGGCAGAATGGCAGCCCCTGCTCTACTCAGGAGGAGTGCCTCTCATGACAGGAAGGAAGGCAGCCCCTTTTCCTCCCTCGACCTTCAGCCGCCAAGGTCAACAGGTGGCCTTTGGGCCTCCGCTGCCCCTGCCCTCGTGCAGCCTGTCTCTGAGTGGCAGTGACCTTGTCCAGCACAGGCACACAATGAGGACACCCTGCTCATCATGGCTGGGGTGAGGGGCACTCCCCAGCTTCATGGAGTCGGGCCCACAGGATGTTTCCGCCACTGCATCTAAGAGCAAGTCAGACAGTTTTTATTTTCAGAGGAAAATTTTGTTTGGATGAACCTCAACCCCAGCTAATCCATGAAACTAAGCTGGTAAGGGTTTGAGTCATGCAGCCAGCTCTGCCTCTGCCTGAGACCAGCCGCCTTTCTGATCCAGCAGACTCAGAAAATGAGGGAATGAGGAGTGGTGTCCGCCCAGGCCCAGGAGAGAAGCCTGCCTCACTCTGGAAGGCTTTCCTGCTCTGCAGCCCCACTAGGCCTGGGGAGCGAGGGGCAGGTCGCTGCTGGTGCTTGCAGTTAAAGCCCAGCAGCCCGTACATCTGTGATGCTTTCCTCCCATTTGGGCAGCGTGTGTGTGCGCGTGTGTGCGTGCGTGTGTGTGTGTGTGTGTGTGTGTGTGTGTGTGTGTGTGTGTGTGTGTGTTTCCATGACTTCTGAATGTGGACTCCTTTGGCTGGGGCTTCCAGTTAAAAACTTGGTGGCCTGATGACTCAGCACTGTCTTTGTGCATCCCTGCATGCACAAACGTTTCACCAAAACAAGGCTTTCACAAAACAATGATCTGGTTTCCTCGGTTTGGAAAACCCCAGTTGTGATCCACTAAGTGTTTTCAGAGTCGCAAGCAGCTCCTACTCCGGAGCCTAGAAGATGAGGTGAGCCACCAGTGGCCGGCGAGCCACCAGTGGCCGACGAGCCAGCTGCTCCATTCCTGGCTCTGTCCCCTGGTTCTGTCTCACAGTGCTCTTCAGCTGTGTTAGGTTTGGGGATTTTTTTTCCCTTGGTAAACCTGTTCCTCCTAATCTCTCCGTCATGAAGGATGCACTGTGTGTAGCGCTGTGGCACAGCTAGGCTCTACTTTGTGTCTGCGTCCTTGGTGGATGCTTGCTTGTGTTGTTTATGGTGCTTTCGACATTGAGATTTCTTAGTCTTCACTTTTAGGAGCTTCTTTGTATTTGAAATTCTTCCTCTCCTCCCTCAGCTCACCACCCTGTCTGGCTGGGGCTGATCTCCCTAGAAAAGGTTTCTAGATGAAGAGCTGTGGGTTAAGGAGCTTGGACATTCTAAGGATCCTGCCCATTAACAGCGGGCTCTCCGGGTGACACCTGCTCACTTCCATGGCACTAACACTGTGACCGTGGCCTGCTTCAAGTGCCCAATGTGAAGTCTGCCAGAATTCAGAGCTGAGAAGTGATAGTAGCACTCGGATATGCCACCCTGGGCGAGGCAGTGGTAACACAGGACAGCTTGTATCTGCTGGTGTCCTGGAGCTCACACTCTTGTCAGCATCAGACATGACCCGTGTTCCTTGAGGAGATGCTGATCCCCCTCCAGGCCATGGGACTGCCGAGTTGCTGCAGGCAGTAAGCTTCGATACCAGTTTTTGGGATCATGGCAGAGCAGTCTGCGATACTGTCCCTCTGCCAGTCTTTGGGAAACGCTTGTCTGCCTCATCTCCTTATCTCAGAGCGCTTCTTGGAGAGTAATATTTGTGAAATGTTGTGTCTTGGCCGTTTTTGTTTTTGTTTTTGCACAGACAGCCAAGGTGCAGCAATTCCTAGGTTGTTGGCTGGGCTCTTTCATCACTCACTGATCTTTCTCTCTGCATATTGGCAGCCAGCTGGGACTCTGAAGGGCATTAGATCTTTGAATATTTTCCCGATAATTGTAAAATGCATAGTCTCCTTTGTGCATTTTCTCTTATTAAATGTTTAGAATAGTACCTGACCGCCGTTGTCACCTAGACATATTTTATGGAATCACTGCTGAAAGTTCTCCCATGGAAGCCAGCCTCTCTTCTCTCTCTCATGGTGTCCGTGTTCAGCGCCATCGCCTGGCAGGCTGCAGCCAGGTCATGGCCATCCCATCTCAGGAAACCGTACACTCACAGCCAGGATGGAACACAGACTTCATAAACCTAAGCACAGTGGCTTATTACTATTATTACATTTTTACCTCTTTCCACTAATTAGTATGGTAAAAGGAAGTGATTTGCCCAAATTCATACAGTTAATCTGTGCTAAAGCCTCTTTAGAAGAGAGGACTCCTAGGCAGTGAGTGATTCTGGATGTCATTAAGAACTTTTGTGTTCCCATGGCATGCAGCCGGTTTAGGTAGCATTGCCCCAACAGATTTCTGTCACGATGGAGGCTCTCGAATTGGTCCTTAAAGCACTTGAGGACATGATAGTTACTTTTGAATCATCAAAGCATGACCAGAGGATGTTCAGCCTGGAGCAGAGTAGTCTCTGTCGCTGTCGAGGGTGCCAGGCTGCTGCGCCGTGGTTGTCTGTAGGTAGCAGAGTGTCCTCCAGTGTTTTCAGCTGACCTCCTCTTGTGGGTAAGTGATAATTTCCTTGTCAGCAGATCGTTCCTGTTCTGTATCGCTCCTCTTAGGTCAGGGTGCTCTAGGAAACTTAGTCCAAGTCTTTTCTGCTCAAAAAAGAGAGAGAGACTTGTTTTTCTTAGTGTTCTCTTCCCCCGCCCTTGCCTTTGTACTGAGTGCCAGATCTGTGCTTATTCTTTGAAAGCCAGAGTCTACTTGGTGCTACAGCATTGTATCATTTAAACGTCACTTAGTCCCAGCTGTGCCATCAGAGATGTGAAAACTGAGCCCCAGAGGACTTTTGCCCAGCTATAACTTACCCTTTGTGGTCTGTAGCAGGGGATTGCAACAGCCTTGAAACTGAAGGCAGAGAGATGAGGGATGGGGATGCTTTGAACTGAACAAAGCAGCAGCGTGTATGTGGTTGTCATAGTGATCACTTGTTCAGTGCCTGGCTCATTCTCTGTCTCTGTGTTAAGTGCAAGGAAGAGTTGCCCTGTGAGTGACAGGTGTGGACGTGGGGAGACCAGGTAGGGAGATCTCGTAGGTGACAGGTGTGGGCGGACCAGGTAGGGAGATCTTGTAGGTGACTGGTGTGGGCGTGGGGAGACCAGGTAGAGAGATCTCGTAGGTGACAGGTGTGGGCGGACCAGGTAGGGAGATCTCGTAGGTGACAGGTGTGGGCGGACCAGGTAGGGAGATCTCGTAGGTGACTGGTGTGGATGTGGGGGGACCAGGTAGAGAGATCTTGTAGGTGACTGGTGTGGGCGTGGGGAGACCAGGTAGAGAGATCTCGTAGGTGACAGGTGTGGGCGTGGGGAGACCAGGTAGAGAGATCTCGTAGGTGACAGGTGTGGGTGTGGGGAGACCAGGTAGGGAGATCTCGTAGGTGACAGGTGTGGACGTGGGGAGACCAGGTAGAGAGATCTCGTAGGTGACAGGTGTGGACGTGGGGGGACCAGGTAGAGTGACTCAGGGCATTTCATGAGTGCTCAGTGTGTGGAGGCACATTTGAAAACAGACTCAGCATGTGTGCCTGTAGGAATGGCATTTCTAGGTTCTGACGTGGCCACAGGCTGGGCTTGTCATCCTCAGGGTTCTCCCAGAGGCAACTCCCATCCACACCCAGTTGAATCCCAGGATTTGGAGCACCCAGAGCCCTGAGAGAAGTGAAGGCCCCACTGTCTTTGCCCAAGGGAATGGGGTCTTTCTGTTGGGATCTGGAGAAGCTTCACAATTCTGTCCTCAGTTCAGCAAAGAGTCGCTGAGCTTCAGGTGCTGTGCTAGGTAATAGGGCTGGGAGCAAGCATGTCACAGACACTCCTGGCCTCCAAGCCAGGCCAAAGACGCCAACAGCAAAGGCGTCCTGCCCTTGGCCATTCCTCAGTGTTCTCTTCATGTTGGGCTTTTTCTGAATTCAGAAGTGGCTTTTTTTTTTAAGATTTATTTATTTTGATGATTTTTCACATAGTTAATCAGGGTGGTAAGGGTCAAGGACTACAGAAAGGTGGGTGAGACCATCATTTCCAAATTCTCTTTTCCTCCCTGCTGTATCTGGGAAAAAGGGATAGACTAGGGGAGGAGACACTTCCAGCCCCCCAAACACCTCTGCACCCTGGGATGAGGACAGTCACCCAACACCACATTTGGGTACAAATGACACCTCAGTCTGGTGTTGTAGCTCTCCTACCCCTCCTCACAGCTCTGGGAAGTAGGTGCCATTATTTCCCATGAGTCAGATCTGAAGCAAGAATGGCCCTGGACGTAGAGGGACCAGTCGGGCAGCCTTAGGCTGTCCCTGCAGGAGGAGGCGGTCTTCACAGCCACATGGGTAAGCCCCGTTCCTCTGTGTTCCCCAGATGCGGGTTCCCCTGTGGGAGAAGGGACTCTCAGGCCAAGGCTTCCCGAGTTCCCTGAGAGGATGATCTGTTTGTAGTAAATGAAATATGAATCTGTCGGTTCACATTTACCACGTCAAAGAGCATCTAGGCATCTCAGGATCCAGAAAATCTTTGAAATGAGGCCGTAATAATCCAACAAGACAGTTTGTTTTCAGAGATGTTTCTGAGCGGAGGGGAAGACAACCTCTTTGTTTCCCATGGGAAATGGAGGATTGTTTGCCATGTCAGCAGAGTGGAGTGCCATCGTCCATGGCTGTCAGTAACCGCAGGAGGGTGGGCACAGGGTAGTGAGAGGTGGCCAACAGCAGTGACAATCTGATCCCATTTAGTGTCAGAGTTGTAGTAATAAAAATAGATTCATGTGCAAAGTTTGGGTGATGACACATCAAGACCATGAGGGAGGTTGGGGCTGGGACATCCCTTCTTGTCTAGTCTCAATGTTGGCTCCACTCCACACTGTGCCTGCCACTGTGCCAGGCAGCGCAGGCAGCACACGGAAGCATTGGGTCTGCTTCCACACACGGAGCTCCCGGGGCGCAGGGTGAGCCTGTCAGCCGTGCTTATCTGTCACCCTCGCCGTGCTTAGAATAGAAACTTGTGCGTTGGTTTCCAGCTTCTCTTCTCCCCTCCCCCACGCCTGATTCCTTCATTCCTGACACCCATTTCTGTGCATGATTTATCCTTAACAAGCACTCACTAGCTGTCTGCTGTGCCCCTGTGAGCTGAGTGTGCAATGAGGAAAAGGAGACCCCTTGTTTTCTGGACATGCCTCGTTTTTTGAAGTCCTTTATTTAAGGATGCTCTGAGGTTTACTGAAGGTTGCTGTGACAGAGCACATGGAGCTGTCGTGCCTGTCCTAAGGTCCCTTTCATGTGTGGAGTGCTGTCTGGGAACCTCCAAAGAACACCTGTTCTTTGCCCTGTATCTCCTTATTTATCCCTTACTTGTTTATATCAGTGTGGACTCTGAGCTGTTTATCTCCTGCCTTGCCTTATCGTTCACCACACTGTAATCTATCTCGTGCCTTGGGGGCTTCCTCACTGGGCCCATGGGCTCTCCTGTGCCCCAGACATGCCCCCACCCTTTTATGTTCTGAACACTGGTTACTTTCTGGTTCTGCAAGAGGCTCCCAGCTAGAATTCTGCAGCCCTAGAATTGCCTGGAGCCTTGCTTTTTTTCCCCCGCTTGGAAACAGAGTGCCCTGCTCACTAAGAGGAAGGAAACAGAAAGGAAAGCTGGTTGCGTGTCAGGTGCTGAGAGCCAGGAGGAGAGCAGGGCACAGTGTGCTTCTCCCAGGGGTGCCCTCACTGAACGAACCTTGTTTGGTGTGGAGCTGAGAGCAGAGGAGCAATACGCCAGCAGTATCCCGGGCATCCGGCTTTCTGATTGCCTCTGACGTTAGAGTGCCAGAGGTGGTGGCCTGATTTTGATATTCATGTTACCCAGAAGCGAGCTGTTTCCACAGTCTTCGTGTCCTTACAAGGACTTTTCTCGCTAGCCCTGCCAGTTTAACAGGCCTTCCTCTCCTTCCAGGCTGCCTGCCCTGCAGAGGGTTCCCATGCCTCCCCTGCCAGGCCCAGCGCTGGGCACACGGGGCACCGCTCCTGCCAGCAGGGAGTTCTGGGGTGGAAGGGAGATCCTATAGCTCCCTCCGCTTGCCTGCAGCCCCTCACCAAGTGGCTGAGTGTTAGTGCTCTGCCGAGCGGCAGGAACAGGTGAAGAGGAAGTGTAAAGTATGTCTGTGTTGTGACCCTGCACGGGACCTGACTCACTCAGCAAGTGTTTTCTGTTCACAGATAACAGTCGGTGTCTATGATCCCTGTAACTTAGCACAGTACCCTGGATGGCCCCTGAGGAACCTTTTGGTCCTAGCAGCCCACAGATGGTATTTACAAGCATGTGTCTGTGTGTCTGTGTCTCTGTGTTTTTGACAATGTGTGTACTGGTCAGTGTCTGTGTCTCCATTTCCCCACTGCTGGTTGGATCCATTTCCCGTTGCTGCTGAGTGAGCCCTTATGCATACCTGCAGGGGAGCCAGACTGGTCAGACTGTACTAAAGAAGTCCCAGACTATGGTGGACAGGTGCACAAGGTTCCGGCACTGGAAACCCTGAGCCCTGTGTCGCAGTGGTCTGCTGGCCTTCAGATGGGCTCTTCCTGTTGCCAAATCCTCTTTTATTCCTGACCCTAAAATAAGTAAAATAGAGGGTTTCTGAAAGACCAGTATAATTCGAAAAGATGCCCAACATCATTAGTCATCAAGGAAATAGAATTAAAACCAGAAGGAGGCACTGCCACATACCCACCGAAATGGGTTGGCAAGAATGAATGTGGCAAGTGTGGGCGATGTGAAGTCATCGGAAGTCTCAGCAGCAGCATTTAGCAGGATCCCCCAGCTGCTGCCGGCACTGGGCCCGGCAGTGGGAGCTAGAAGCGCTTACAAGGCAGAGCCCGGATGGTGGGGAGGCTCAGCAGTGCGTAATGCACAGAAACGCACATGTAGATACAGGCAGAATGCATCCAACAAGATGGACGGCCAGTGGTAGCATAGCCCTTAGAATGGGGCCCTCGGTAGCAGTGAGTCTGAGCAGACTGCTGATTTGTCCAAGCCACGTGGATGAGTTTTAAAAACATAATGTTTTGTGAAATAAACTCGGCATAAAAGAGCAAACAATCTATGCTTGCATCTATCTAAAATTCAAACCAGGCAAAATCCACATGTGTCTTTGGAGTTATTGCGCTGACAAAGGTGGCTGCTTCATGCCTGGGACACGTGTGCTCATGTAGGGTATGACGGCATGCCAGTCAGCCCTGCGTGGCCTCCAGAGGGGTGCTGGCTGTCTGTTACTTACCTGCGTAGCCAAGTCCAAGGACTGTAGGTGGGCTTCCCCTGGACCGAGGGAGGTGCAGGTGTCACAAACTGAGGTCAACCTAGAGCACGTGGGAACCAGAGGCACTTGTGTCTTAGAGGCTCTTCACTTGTGGCTTTGCAGGCATTTCCCCCGCAGTAGGGAGGATGCCTTCGTTGGAATTACTCATGTGCCTTCGGGGAGGGGTTGGGGGATCCCCAGAGTCTATGAAACTGTGTCACATAATGTAATGTAATTAATAAAATATATATATATTAAAAATAAAAATTAAAAAAAATGTAAAAATTTTAAAAAAAGGAATTACTCATGTGCAGTGTGATTGCTGTGTGAAAATCACATGGAAAGAAACCGTGACCACTGCAGCATTCAGCCTCTGAGTGCTTGGAGAGAAGTATTTCTGAATAAGTTAGCCACCCCTGCAAGGATAAGGCCATCCCCAAGGGTGTGAGGCACAATTACAGCGAGCTGGAGTCTCTCCAGCTGGTATTGCCGAAGCTCTTATGTGAGCTCTTTCTTTTCCTTCCCTCGATAAATAACTAAAAATCCGGGCGTGTGACTACAGGAGCGGCAGTTTCCAGTCCGTTGAAGTCCTCTGCTTCCGGGACCGCACCATGCAAGGGCTGAGAGACGTAGCCCACAGCATCATCTTTGAAGTGAAGCTTCCAGAAATGGCATTTAGCCCAGGTAATTTGCCGGTCTTTGAGAATGCATATAATTACCATTTATCAGAACCCGAGTCAGCCTTACTTGCTTTTCATCCCTCCACAAAGGCAGCAGGAGGAAGGGAAAGGCTCCTGCTCCTTGGCCAGCGCCAGCCCCTCCTCTGAGCAGAGGCTGCCCTCGGCCGCCAGCGTGGGAGGCAGATGTCCTCACCAGGAGATCGTCCCTGGGCAGTTTCAGTCTGGAGTCTTTATCCTTGTCAAAGGAAGGGTGTGAAGTGTGAACACAGTGAGGGCCTTGTTTTGTACTTAAAGCTGTGTGTCCTCCGGGCAGTTTCCAGCAGCGTGATGCCGCTTGCTCTCCACCGTCAGGAGCTTCCCTGGGTTCTTAGGAGTTAGGACACTCATGCTGAGAGACATTGGATATGGAAGTATCCATGTGCGTGTAGGCACGCCTGTGGATGTGTGTGTGTGTCCACGTAGGTGCATACTTAGCTTTGTGTCCATATCATAGATGACATATCATTGAGTGCGAGGACCATGCAGGTGGAGGCGCCCGCAGTGCTGTGTGAGGCGTGTCGTGGGTGCTGGCCGAGGGTGGAGGCGCCCGCAGTGCTGTGTGAGGCGTGTCATGGGTGCTGGCCGAGGGTGGAGGCGCCCGCAGTGCTGTGTGAGGCGTGTCGTGGGTGCTGGCCGAGGGTGGAGGCGCCCGCAGTGCTGTGTGAGGCGTGTCATGGGTGCTGGCCAAGTGTCCCATCTGTTAACCTGCTGTGTCACCTACCTCCCAGAGCTGTTCATGCCTGTTCCCAAGGTCACCCCTCATATTTTTGTGTTTGATTTGCTTTCCAGAACACTCTCACATATGGCAGGGTACTTTAAAAACAAATGAAAACAGTGAAGTGAAAAGAAGTTTATTTTGGCGTAAAAATGTTTGACGTCCATGCAAGTTTTTCATCTTGGTCATGGGAAATGTGTAACATAAAAACAGTAACCATGGGGTCAAAATTTGGGGCATTAAAGATAGCTATCTTGTGATTCCATTTTTCCACAATCCACTTTTATGATTAACTTAACCCAAGTTACCTTACCATTTCATTTTTCGAAAATGAACTTGCCAGTGACTTAAAGTCTTACAGCTTCGAATGTCATTCTGTTTTTCCACAAACTTGTTGAAGTGCCTTCATGTTATCTAGCTTTTGCTGAAGGCATCCAGCAGGTCCAAAGCACATTTCTTTCTCTGCTCCTCGGGTATGTCAGCAGCAGGAGGGGGTGGGGACAGGGAGTTTTCAGTCTGTCCCCCTTGTCTTTTCTGGAGCTGAGAAGTCAGAAGGACTCGGATTGACCCAGGTCCCAGTCAGTGCTTACCCAGATGCACAGGGGGTGACTGCGAAGAACATGCGTGGAGCCGTGGGCTCCGTTCGTACTGTGCTTGTCCTATGCGTACAGACGTGTGCGTGTAAATCCAGTGAGATCTATGGCCAGCATCACCACTGTTGTGCAGCTTCGGGCGCTGTGCACGAGGGCTCCATGAGCACAAGCCCCACAGCACCGCCAGGGCCACCCGATGGATCTGACAGCGCTGACAGCTGCTGGACGACTGACGAAGGGGTGGCTGGTATGGGTAGTCCACAGACGCTGGACACTGAGTGACTAATAGGTACCCAGTGGTGATTCACAGCCTGGGCAGGAAGGAGTGGGACGGTGCTGCCCGGAACAGCATGCACCCTGATAACTTACCCACTGTTTACTGCTGAAATTTTCCACGCACTGTTTGCCATTCACTGTTGGTCTCAGCGAAGTGAGGCTCTGGAGGACAGCCCCGGTGAGGGAGGCTTGTGGGTGTCGAAGCCCCGAGCTCCAGCGCTGATGTCTCAGGCAGGCTTCTCAGGAAGACAGAGGACCTGGATCAAAGGGGGACCTGTGTGCTTTTCAGTTTCCAGCCTTCCATCTGTCACCTTTTTGCTGTCTTTAGATGCTTGTGTTTGATTTAGCACCCTCATCTGGCACATTCTCGAATAGCTATCTTGTAGCGTTCAAGCCCAACACTGTTTCATTAAATCACCATAGTGCAGGGGAACGAGGCAGGAGTGTTACAGAGTGTGTGGCTGGTCTGTGGGCCTGTCAGGCCATCAGGATTTTTCTCTGCCCCTTCCTGTTTGGGTCTAGGAGTTCCTCTTGCCCCCTGCTCCCCATTCCCCATGTGCGGCTGGTGCTTGGTGCTGCTGAGAGATCCTGGAGCCACTGGGGATATTTCCCTGGGAAGAAGGTTCCTCTGGCCAGCCCAGCAGCACCTTCCTTACGCTTCCTATTGAATGCAGAAAGACACCTTTTCTTCTTACATGTAGGATTTTATTGCCCATGTTAACTACTATTAAAACTTTATGATAAATAAAACATTGTTAGCTCAAAAGGACCTTTTAGCAGTTCTAAGATGTCCCACAGTGCAATGGCAGAGGTGTGAGAACTATTTTAAATATCCAGGGAGGCAGCAGCAGCATTGAGAGTTGGGGTGGGGGGCATCCCTCCTAACCTTGCCCCTTAGGAGCTCATCCTGCATCCCACTCCCCAGGAAAGGCCAGCAGCTCCTTCCCTCAAGTGTTTTCCTGTGAATTCCAGATGTCTTGGTTGCTGTAGGTTACCTGGAAGTGAACTAAATGTCCCTGTCAGACGCCCTTACAGTGTTTTTTTCATCACTGATAAGTTTAAAGTATATTGAGTTCTCATGGGGATGGCTGTGGCCTTTCGAGTATAAAGATGTTCTCTCTGAAATGGTAATTTTATCTTTTAACTTCTTACCTGTATTGGAAGAAGTTCTGCCTGTTAAGATGTTAAAAGTTACTGCTTACGGTTCTAGGCTATGGTTCCATAAGTTCCTGTGCTGCATATTAGAGAGGGACTTTTTATTGAATATGAGAATAGTTAGAATTCATAGGAGACTAAGAATTAGTAGCAAGGCTGGACTGTCTGTTTCCCCCTGAAGAACTCTGAACCTTAGCTCCCTTAAGACCTCTGATGTGTTACTTCAATTGCAGTTTTCCTCAGCCTAAGGGAAGGCCCACAGTAGCAATGTCGGCCTTCAAATGGGAGGGGTTCTCCGTGCAGGACACCTTGCTGTGAGTGATGGCCCAGCCAGGCCGGAAGCTGCGCAGCTTCCAAGGATAAGTGGGCCTGCAGTTGCCCGTAGTCATCCTACCCCGGCCACAGAAGGAAATCAACACCTCCGGACCTTACAATTACACTGAGCAGCAGGATTTAAAAACAAAGCAGATGTCTAAAGGTTTTCCAAGGAGGGGAAAGTAGAGGTGCTGCTGAAAATCTGAAGGAAGACGAATGACCAGAGAAAACCACGGTACAAAGAGAAAATTGGAGTCCTCCTCCCGCCCGAGTCCTGTGCATCTTACCTGAGTCCAGCAGCTTCTCTGCCTTCAGAGTCTGTCCTGGGGGGATGCTAGGTGGACACTGGCAGGGCGTAGGGTGGTGACAGAGGCACTGAGACCTGGAAGGCCCAGGACTGTGGGGGACCCCACAAGCCAGGCTTTCCAGGCGTCCATGGGACTGAGGAAGAAGCAGGAGTGCTCTGCCTAGCATCTGTGATCTTTAAGAGAATTACCTTCTCATTAAAAGGTTACAGAGAGAGGGAGAGAGAAAAGCTTTCATCCCCTGGTCTACTCCCTAGATGGCCACCAGCCATGCCAGGCTGAAGTCAGGAACCAGGAACATCATCCAAGTTTCCTTTTGGGTGGCCAGGGGCCAGGTGCCTGGGTCATCTTCCACTGCTTTCCCAACACAATAGCAGGGAGCTGGATCAGTAGACCAGAACTCAAACCAGCTCTCAGGTGTGGCATCCACGGTGCCGCCACATGCCAGGGGATCTTAATTGGTGATAGAGAATGATGGGAGAAGAGGAGGACTCCGTACCTGAGGGGAATGCAGACCCAAGTCCAGTGTTTCCCGTGGCTTCTCAGAGCCCCTCCCTCTCTCCTGTGCCATGTGAGTTTCCAGGTTTGGATGAAAGTGAGGTCTGGGAATAGAACAGAAATACAGTGCACAGCCATGTATCCCGACGACCCCAGTCCTCTCGGGAACTGCTGGGCTGGGTGTGAGGGTCCCCCCAGGTGGGTGAGTCGGGGCTGGGCAAATTCCAAACGGATGAGGATGAGCTGAAAGGACAAGGAATTGGGCAGCTTCACAGAGGGGCAGTGTCCCTGGACTCTGATCTGCCCACAGGTGTGCAGTGACAGCCGGGAGGCCCAGTCGAGGGACATCATAAGGTTAGGAATGGAAGGGACCCTGGGTCTTAGAGTTTCTGATTCCCATAGCTCGTACAGCGGGAGGTATGCTTAGTGAGGGTCCTTGGCTTCTGCTCCCGCAGAGACCACCCCACCACCATCAAATGGAATTCTCTCTCTTTGCTGATGGGCTGCCAATTACAGCACCAATTGGAGCATTTGAGGCCAGAGCACCTACCTGGAATCCTGTGCTTGCTTCACGGGTGTCTTGGCCAGGAGACTGGGCAGCTGATGGCAGCAGGGGGAGGCGGGAGTGGTGAGCGAGTTGCGGCCAGTGGGAGCTGGGGCTTCAGGCCCATACACCTCTTGGCAAAAGAAGTGATCTGAAAGCTTTTCAATGCAGGTGCCGCTCTGAATGTCAGCGCTTCTGCAGCAGGTTTGACGGACTTGACTTCAGTCTCCCCTCCTTCATTAATCTCCATGTTTTATTTGCCTTAAGATTGTCCCAAAGCAGTCGGATGGGAGAAGAACCAGAAAGGCGGCATGGGCCCCAGGATGGTGAATGTCAGCGGGTGCATGGACCCTAAAAGGTACACGTGGTTTGGAAGTGGGGCTCTTCCTCAGGGCGCACGCCTGACTGCACAGTTCCAGCCCAGGGTGCCATTCGTGGTGATGATGAGAATCCTACCGCAGCTTGCCACCTGACTCTCGTTCTGAGTGTGTGAGACTTCCCAGTGAGAGTAGAAACCCTGGGGGGCACAGAGCTTATGGGTTCTTCTGAATGGTATAGTTTGTCCTTGCCAGGTATTCCTAGGTCAGCTTTAGTCCTGTGTTCAGCTCCTGTTAGCATGATCCTGTCGGCCAACATTGAAATGGAAGCCACACTTCATGGAGGAGACCTGAAAGAAGTTTCTATTTTCAGCACCAGGGACAACCCTCCTCCTGATCGTTGGGTGTGGTCTGTTACTGGCCCTACTTGGCTTTTGCGCGTTGGCTGCTAGGAGATCCAGTTCACCTTGTGGCTCGCCACTAGCAGCTGCAAGGATGCACGGGTGTGTGTTCTATGTAGCAACCTTCCCCTCCTGCTGACCTTGCTGTTGTCCTTTTGAGCCTAGTTGTCCTCTGCCTAATGGTTTCTGCCACAGCTCTTTTACATTTTTTTTTTAAATTCCTTTGAACCGGAACCAAAAGGGAAATTTATTTTGATGTAAATAAATTTTGAACTCCTTGCATATCAGGAACCTTCAAAAAGTTAATAGAAGCCACATGGATTTTGAAATTCTGCTGTACCAAAATAAGCTGATTTAATTCCATTTCTCATGAAAAGGTACCCTCATTTATCTTTCAGGCCAAGTGGGTGAACAGGTGACTGAATGCATGAGGCTCTCATCTTGCAGGTTAGCCGAGTCGTCAGTGGACCTCAATCTCAAGTTGATGTGCTGGAGGCTGGTCCCTACCCTGGACCTGGACAAGGTCATGTCTGCGAGGTGTCTGCTGCTGGGAGCCGGGACCCTGGGCTGTAACGTGGCGAGGACCCTGATGGTGAGCAGGCTGGGGCCACTGGCACCCCGGAGTGGTGGCTTCTCTTGTTTGGCTGCCTGTCATCTCCCAGGTCCCCTTCCTTTCCCTGTTCCTGGTGTCTTTTTTGCTATGGAAGGGAACGTGCTGTTTTCCCGAGGTGGTAATGGAAATACTCCCCTCACCATCTCCCCATGGCATGGCCAGCCTGCAGAGAGGGGCCCCTCGTGCCTCCCAAGTGATATCCTCAGCTCCTCCCTGCCCAGACATGTGTGTCCCAAGCCACAAGTGCTGTGGCTTGCTTGTTTAGGTCTATGAGAATCACAACACTCCATTCATTTTGGAGAATTAGTAATTGATATGTTTATCTGTAATATAATTTCTATAGCAAGCAACCTTTTGCTTTAGTATTGAGATATTTTAGAGTCATGGATGATTTTAAACCTTTTAAAAATATTGTATTTGCTTGTGAGAAATATTCAATCTAAGATTCACTCTCTAAATATCCATAATGACTAGGGCTAGCCTGGGACCAAAGAGGGGAGCCTCAAACAGTCCAGGCCTTCCATGTAGGCAACAGGAACCCAACCACTTGAACCTCCACCTGCTGCCCCTCAAGGACTGTCTGAGCATGAAGCTGGAACAAGAGCTGGAACTGGGAGTTGAACCCAGACCCTCTAATGTGGGATGGAGGCCTCCTAGGAGTTGTGCCGAGTGTCAACCCCAAACCTACATTTATTGATTTCTCAATTTCGCAGAGGTTATTTTTTTCTAGCTTCTAGCATTTTTAGGTGCTGAAGTTTTCTTAACATTTCTAGGAGTGCCACAGTTAGCACAGGACCATTAAAGGAAACCTGCAGCACAGAGAACAGGAGAGAAAGACAACCGTCTTCCTGCTACCCCTTCACCTATTTTGTTTAATATGTATTTTCAACTATTATTTGATGTACACCAATGCTCCTTGCTTTTGCCAAGTGGCATTGTAGAAACCTTTCTGTGTGGCTGAAGATGAGGCCCATGAGGTCTTTTCAAGCTAGACAATGTGTCTCATTGTGGGATGTAGCGTCATTCACATCTCATCATTGACTGAGACAATTGCCTAATTTTGGCATTAATGTTGTTTTCAGTCTTTTGACTCTTATGAATGGTGTCGCAAATAATAGCATCGTGATTGCATCGTTTCAGCGTTTCACATTATTTCATGGGCTAGATTGCTGGCAGGAGATCAAAGGGTTGTGTGCATCTATCTCTAAGATGTTGGACACGTGTTGCCAAGTTGCCTTCCAGCAGCGTGATCCCAGTTTCATAGTCACAACCAGTGGGGTGTATGCCCACCACCACATCCTTACCAGCACTGGGAAACATTCCACAGAAGTCAGGTTTCACACCTGTGTGTGTGAGAGAGAGAGAGAGAGAGAGAGAGAGAGAGAGAGAGAGAGAGAGAGAGACTCCCCAGGGCTGTTCCAGACTGCCTTCTTGGCTGCTCACTCAGCACTGGCTCCAAGGAATGCCAAAGTACTTCAGGGTTAAGTTCCCCCTAGCCCAGCACATATGACTTGAGGACTTCTCATACAGTTGTACCCTCCCCATGGTGGATTGTCTACCTGGAGGAACTGGGAGGGAACCTGAAAGGCAGCAGTGGAGTCTGCAGAGGCAGCCAGAGAAGAGGAGAGAGACAGTAAGATCTTCCATCCACTGATTTACTTCCCAAATGGCCTCAACAACCAGAGCTGAACTGATCTGAAGCTAGGAGCTTCTGGGTCTCCCATGCAGGTGCAGGGTCCCAAGGACTTGGACCATCCTCTGCTGCTTTCCCAGGCCACAAGCAGGGAGCTGGATGGGAAGCAGGGCCACCAGGACATGAATCAGGGCCCATGTGGGATGCTGGTGCTTGAAGATGGAGGACTAGCCAGTTGAGTCAGCGTGCCAGCTCCTCACGTAGTCTTCTAAAGGGCAGATCCTGGCTGTCATTCCTAGCCCTGAGACAAACCCTGCTCCTTGCGTGTTGTCACCCTGACCTCAGCAGCCCGATGGAGCCCAAGGCCCTGACTGAAATGGTTCCGAAGCTAGAGTGAGAGGGGGCAGCACAGCAGCTCTGCAACTGCTGCTCTCCTGAAGTAGTATCACCCCAAAGTGGGCCTCCTCACTTGGGTGCAGCCCCAGGAGCTAGCACCGTGGGCATGTCACCTGTGCTTCCTGCATTTCCTTGTCTGTAAAATGGAGTGATGGGATGAGGGATTGTGGCAGTACTGCACACCTGTCCAGTCATGTGGGCCTGTAAGACTCTAGGAGATAGAGCCAAAGTCTGTAGTGCCTTGAAGAAGGAGGAGTCCTCTGTATGATCCAGGGGGTATGGCTTGTACAGCAGTGTTCTGAAGAGTGTATTCAGGCTTTGAGTGAACTATAAGAGAAGTGTCAGGCACGCTCAGTTATCCCTGAAGGCAAACCAGGACAGCTGGAAGCTGTGACTGGGCCTTAAGAAAATGCAGCACAGAGGGGCTATGGGATTCATCTCCAAATGTTTTTCTGGTGCCTGTTCAGACTTTTCTCAGTCTTGTTACAACAGGAAGCCAGGGACTAAGTATGTTGTTTTAATCAAAATTCAAATTTGTCCAGGTCAGCTTGTGATGAATCCTGTCATGAGATTACGAAGCTGGGCCAGACCAAAACCCCTCTAAAGACTTGTGAGGGAAACCTTGTGATGTGTCCCCGGAAACCCAGCCTGATCTTCCGTCTCCCCGCAGGGCTGGGGTGTCAGGCACATCACGTTTGTGGACAACGCCAAGATCTCCTACTCCAATCCCGTGAGGCAACCTCTGTATGAATTTGAAGACTGCCTCAGTGGGGGCAAATCCAAGGCGCTCGCGGCAGCGGAGCGGCTGCAGAAGATATTCCCCGGAGCGGTACGTGCATATTTTTTGGGAACATTCCAGGTTGTCCCTGTGGTTTTCAGTGTTTGAATCCCGGAGCAGGAAACGCTGTTGTCCTGGCTTTGCTTCCTGCTGGTTACTACCCTCCGCCACCCCGCACTGAGACTCGTGGAAGTGCTCACATGTTCTTATGAAAAGGAAATGAAGGATATTTAACAAAGATGCCTTGGTAGTTGCCAGGTGCTCCATGAGTTTGCACTGTGGGATTGGGGACCTGTAGTTTGTGATATGCTGCCTGGTCCAAAAGGAAACAGAACTTGATGGTCTGTTGTCCTTCATTAGCAGAACTCTTGGTTGTTGGCTGGTGCAGGTTTATGAAATTACATTGAATGCCAGTTCCTAAATTACGTTGAATACGAGTTCCTATGTAGAAGAAAGACTAGGTGAAAGCTTCAGTTTTTGCCCTAACTGCTATTTTTTTTTTCTGAGTTGTGTCATTCACTTTAGAGACTCCAAAAGAGTAAGAGAAGTCGTTCAGTTCGTTGCATTCAGTGAGTTGCAGGTTCCTTTCTTGAGGCTGTCTCATGACAGGGATTCTGCATGCTGACTGCTCCGTCAGTTTATCTGACAGGAGGCAGATGAGGTTTCTCGGAGCAGCTGCTGCTGTTGAAAGAGCCAGCAGAGGCTCTTGGTCCTCACTGAGAAGACGTCGCCTGCTCAGAGCGCCTTGCGCCTCAGCCCTCGCCCAGTGCGGCTGCGTGCAGGTCAGGAGGCTTTGCTTGATGCCGCACTGACAGTTCTGTCCATCTCATCGCTTGTGCCTGAGGCACTTGGTGTATTGGGTTTAATTTATCAGTATTGATTGAGTGTTCAGTCTGTACCCAGCCGTGAGCTGATGCCAGGAGAAAGAAGAGTAAGTCACAGTCCTGACTCTGGCAGGCATGTTAGTTAAGTTTCTGTGGTGATGGCATTGCACATCACATCATCACAGTGGCTTCCTCCAGCTGTAAGCATTGCTGCACGTTCACAGGTATCCGGCCTCAGACCCTGGCCTGCTATGGCTTCAGCCTTTGCATCAGGTTCTGCTTTGTTCTGACTGCAATTGTGTCAGAATTTAGGCAAGAGCATCCTGCAGGGACTCCTTTGGTGGTGGTAGGAGGATGCTACAAGGACACTGGTAATGTTCATGGCTCTTTTTTTTTTCATTGAACAAATATTTACTGAGTACCCAATTATGTGTCAGGCACTATAGAGACAGCAGTGAACAGACTGTACAAAACTTCAGAACATAGCACCTGCCCTCAGTGGGGCTCACAGTCTAAGGAGGTGAGAGGCTGGGATTGAAATGAGGGGGAAAAATGTATGTCAAATATTTGGCATATTCCACTGAACAGACCATGAAGAAAAACTGAGCAGGGAAGGGAGAGTGGAAAGGGAGGCAGGGAACACTATGCAGAAGGTCAAGAAAGGTGGTGAGGTTTGAGGAAGGGCTTGAAAAAGTCACTTTCACGCCTAGAAATACTTACTTCTCTATTAAGACTATCACACCTTCCTCCCGGCTTAGGGGACTCACCCTTAAATAGAAACCGAGACCTAAGGATTCTACACTTTGACAAGTGCAAACCTGTACTCTCTCCTGAGTGCACAAATGAGTGAATCACTCCATTTTCTACACCTCCTGCTGTATGTGTTGTGCTACTCGGTACACAAGCACTCTGCCTCGAGACCCCAGTGCCCCGCCCAGCCTCCGCCCCCAAGCTTAGTGAGCATGATACGTTTGTAGTAAACACCCACATTGCTAGGTCAGGGTGTCTGGATACACGCCTCATCTCCTCTTAGGTCCCAACAAAAGGACCAACCTTTGAACCTGCAATGCTCGGCACGTCAGACAAGCCAGCGAACAGCTCCTAAGCTCCACGGCCTGCAGGCTGCCAGGCCACAGCAAGGGAGACAGATTTACACCAGCTGAGGCTCTAGAGTCAGCCTGCTGAGACTGGTCCCACTACAGTCTGCCGTCCAGGGCGGGGAGCCTCTCAGAACCCAAGTCAGTCCTCAGCTGCAACAACGCAGGGTGATCTGTTGATGGCTCTTAAAGTCTCAGCTCCACCGTGGCGCAGCGCAGTGTCTTCCAACTCCATCCCCAGAGCATGTCAAGGGGCGAGTCAGTGAGCTCTGCTCGTCTGGGGAGGCGTGGGGTCGCCCGGCAAAGGGCGCAGTCCACTGGAGGGAAGAGGGCTGTGCTCGAGAAGAATGGTCTGGCCTGTCTGTGCAGAATATGAGGAACTCCTTATTTTAAAGAGTCACTTTATTTTATTTGAAAGGCAGCATTAAGAGGGAGGTGGCAGGGGACCTTCCGTGCACTGATCCACTCCCCAAAAGACAGCAACAGCCAGATCTGGGTGGGGCCAAAGCCAGTAGCTGGCAACTCCCTTCAGGTCTTCCACCTGGGTGGGAGGAGCCAGAGTGACAGGTTTGTTAGCAGGGAGTTGGAATGCAAGTGGAGCAGCCAGGACTTGAACCAGTGCTCCTGTGGGATGACAGCAGCATAGGTGGCAGCTTAAACCATTGTGGCACAACACCAACTGGCCTGACTTGGAACCTGAGTTCTGACGTTTGCTAGTTGCGTGAGATTTTTTGCTTACCGGAGCCCTGCCATCGTCTGTGGCTCCAGGTGCTGTGCAGTTTTCCTGTTACTGTGTGTTTGCTTAGGGCCTGCAGGGGCTGAGCAGCTGTGGCAGGTGCCTGGGGCATGAGCTCAGTTGCTGGGAGACTGGGTCAGGAGCAGACACGACCTTGACTGGGAGGGGCGCTAGACTCAGGTTGGCTGAGCCGTCTCTGCGAAGCCTGAGGTAGGCAGAAGTGTCGTGCTTTTGCGGACCTCAAAGATGGTGAGGGTGGCTGAAGCACAGAGGTCAATGAGACCAAAAGGAATGCCGAGGTCAGATCTCACTGACCTTTAGAGGTCAAGTTTTCATGGAGACATCCAGAATCAAGCTTTTGACTTAGCACTCACATCAGTTACTCTGAGATGTCAAGTCTGTTTTACTTTGCCCCCTCCTGGCTTTGCATAAAGCTGATAATAGGTAAATGTGCAGAGCCCGTCCAAGTCCTAGTGTAATGCATTGAATCCCTGGGAAGTATCTGAGAAAAGCCAGTTAGCCACTGGTTACCCAGGCTTGCTTCCTCACGCAAGGCCATGGCTCCGACCTCTGAGAGCTGAGGCTAGCTGAGGAGGCCCACACGGCTGAGCGGGCGAGGTCTTCACCCAGCAGCAGCGGCAAGCACTAAGGAGGATGAGTAGATGATGCTGAGGCAGCGCCGGAGAGCAGGGTGCACACAGGCCCGGGCCGGCAGGGCAGCTTCCTCAGCAAGATTCCGTAGATTTGCCATTCCTCGCGTGTTCAGTTATTGCAAAATCCTAGTCTTCCTGCTGGATGTCTGGTGATATTTGTCTCAGGGAAAGAAAATTGAATGACAAGCTTCTTTTAGTTTCTAATTTTGAAATAATATATTCCCTAGAAGGTTCGAAGAAAAGTCCCAAAGAGGTCATGAGAGCCCTTCACGCAGCCTCGCCCGAGTGACAGATCCGGGGTCAGAGTGGCATCATTTGCAGTCCCCAGATGGCTGTTAGTGCTTTCAGGGAGCCAGAAAGGCAAGCTTCTCGTTTTTGCTCTGGAATACTCGACCCACACTAGGCATATTCTGGTCACAGACCTTTCGAGTAACTCGAAGGCCAGCTCGAGTGGGACTCTTAATTTCTGCCTCCGTAGTAGTCCTGGCTTTGCGCCTTCTCTCCCACTCCAGCGTCTAGGTGTCACATTGATGCCTCCCAGCTCCATTTAAAAACACGGTCATGAAATTACCTGAGCAGAATTGCTCTGCTACAAGTGCCAGACTGAATGCTGGGGTTGAGTTAATAGAATAAGAAAAAGACTGATGGTTTATAAATCAAAGAACTATTTAAGGGACCCCTTTTTTATGGTGAGGCAATAAAACGTAGGATTATGGAGTTACACTGAAGGTTTTAAAACCCAACTTTAAATGTCTGTTCCCAGCATTAATGAGTAGCTGGTGCTGGGCTAGCTTCCCCACCGTAAACAATTACACACCCCAACAAAATCCGTGACGCGACCTAGCAGGCATGAGGCACTGCAGTCCCCAGCCGCTAAGGAAGAAAGAATGTTTGTCCCATGTTGGTGCCTGCAGGCACTCTGTGGCCCAGGCCAGAGTCTGGCGGGGTCCGAGGAGATGTTCTTGGTCTGGACAAGCTGAGGAGACAGAGCGTGCAGCCGCTGCAGTGGCTGGAATCCGCGGGGCCTCGTGCTGGCCAGTGGGCGGCTGTGCAGAGGAGCTCAGAAACCTGCGCAGGGAACAGCTCGCGTCTTCGACCACATACTCGGCTGCACATGCGCAAGATACACAACCAGGGAATCATAAAGGAACGGGGACACCCTGACAGGACTGTGACAAGACCCCTCTGAACGCTCTGAGCCCTTGCGTGGCAGCCCTGAATGCCACGGACTGAGGCTCGAGGCTGACTCCTTCTAGGAGAAAGTGTCTCAGGGCCAGTGAGCAGCCAAGTCTCCTGGGACCAGAGGCACTTGCCTGTTGGCAAAGACCTGGACTTTAACACAATGTGGAGCTTTTCCCTCCCAACAGACACCACTGAGAGCGTGGGAAGGTTTGCAGTGCTAAACAACTTTGATCCAGAATACGTAAGTCCCTACCATGATGAGGAGAGAAAGGCGGCTTGTTCTTTAAGGGCAGTGAGGGTCTAGGAGTGGCAGCACGTTAATCACAGTGCCAGCATCAGTAGTCATCTGGGAAACAGGAATGAAAATCGTAGCGATAAATCACTCCAGAGCCACTAGCATGACTGGGACTCGGGGCGGACAGCGCTGAGGCCCGGGCTGTGGGCTCCCTCTCACACTCTGCTGTCAGAGCAGCCCGAGGGAGGCTGGAAGTACGCCTCCCCGGTTACTCAGAAAAGGTACTTCCAGTACTTCCCTCAAAGAAATGAAACCGCACACGCTGAACACTTGGGCAGAAGTGTCCATCACAGCTTTAGTCACATGGTCCAAGCCTGGAAACCCAGATTGCCACCGACAGGAGAATGAATAATAAGAAAATGTGCGACAGTCATGCAAAAAAAGGCGGGGGGGAACATGCTGCTGGGGTGTACTGTTGATGCTTGACCATATGGGTGGACCCCCACTGCACACAGCCCAATGCTGAGCATAAGAGAAATGAACGAATACTCCAGTTCTGTCTGTGAGGCCTAGACTAAGCAAAAGCCCTGTGGCTTGTAAAGTGAGGGCAGGCTTGGCTGAGGGTGGTGGCAGTGGGCTGGGAGGGGGCGTAAGAGGGTGTTGCAGGATCTGAATCTTGCTGGAGCTGTTCTGTGCCTTAGTAGGTGTGTGTAGGCATTAATCAGCACAATACAGGATCCAGGACATGTGGACCTGCACGTGTGCCATCTGCATATACGCTTGATGCAAGTTACCCCTCAGCCTGGTCGTTCCTTTGAATCACCTGGGGCAGTGGAGTGGGGCAGGGCTTAGAACATAGCAATGCCTGCAGCGAGAGAACCCTGGGGACCCAGAACTGAGAGGCTGTGCAGGCGGTTCTGATGTGCCGCTGATGTGGGAAGTAGCTGTGCTGGGGCTTGGTGGTCCCAGCCCTTGGAGCTTGACTCCGTCTGGAAAAGCCAGATCCACTTTCAGGCCCAAATCTCAGCAAGTAAAGATTCATTCAGGTCAGCACAGCTCACGTGGGCAGGCTTGCTGACTTTATCACTGGGAAGGTGAGCGTTGACATCACGTGTTGATGTTTCAGCTTTGGTGCCAATGAAACCCCCGGTGAAACAATGCCATGCAGGCCCAGGCTTCTGCTGTGTGTGGTGCCAGCAAGGTGGTGTTGCTCTGAGGACTGTGGTTGCTGCTCCTGTGGCTGCCCAGTACGGTCTCGGTACATAGCAGGTGCCTACATTTTCCTAGAGTGCCAGAGGGTTCAACATGAGCATCCCCATGCCTGGACACCCTGTGAACTTCTCGAGTGTCACCCTGGAGCAGGCCCACAGCGACGTGCAGCAGCTGGAGCAGCTCATCGAGAGCCATGATGTCATCTTCCTGCTGATGGACACCCGGGAGAGCCGGTGGCTGCCCACCGTCATCGCCGCGAGCAAGAGGAAGGTAGGGAGGGTGGGCACAGGGCCGTGCTCTGGGTGCACATGCAGCATCACCCCAAAGGGGCAAGAGTGACAGCATCTCCCCATCCCGCGGGAAAGAGGGGTGCAGCTGGAGCCAGAGCACTCCCTGTTCTGGCACCATCCTCTGAGTCCCCACACCAGGAGGCATGCTGCCCCTGGAGATGGCAGCTTTGTCCCACTCACGCCTGTGTGGTCCCTGACAACTTTGTGGGTCAGCAGTACTGGACTGGCCACTTCATCGTGGTGTGCATCCAGGCTGGAGTAGCACTTGGCCGTTTATTGCTCATATCCTAAGAATTTAAATAATGTGGAAGGTCCTCCATGCTATGCAGTGAGCTACGGAGTGTTTACCTTAGACTATGGGGAAGCTTGTCTGCTTGTTTGTTGATAGGTAGGGAGAGGAGCAAGAGTGAGAAAAGATTGAGATGTCAGTGATTTCTGTTTTCTAGGGTGCTTTTTCCTTATTTTTCATACTTTCTATGCCATCAGAAATTTTGGAGAATAAGTTATTTTACAACAGAGGAAAGTCCTTAAGCCATAAATGGAAGAACTTGTCCTTGTAAATCTGTGTGAAGGGTGGATTGTGCTTCAGTAAAGTAATCATGGAAAAGGTTTCTGTGGATGGAGCAGAGCTGCACAGTGGGGGGAAGAGTGGCTCAGTTCGCTGCAGATGTCATCTTGTGTACCTGTCTCTGGGCAGGTGGCCAAAAAATCCCCTCTGGCTTCCAGAATGTTCATCTATAAATAGGAGATGTTTCTAGGGAATTTTAAGTGAAATCAGAGAAATAGTTTATGTGAAGCACTTGCAAAATCAGCATCGGTTAGCCGTCACCCTCATTAGCATTTGGAGTCTTAATTACGAACTGGAAAAGTTGACCTGATAACGAGTTAACCGCGACTTGGAGTCCGGCGTCTGCTAATACTGTTCTTGTTCCTCGCCCCCCACAGCTGGTCATCAACGCTGCCCTGGGCTTCGACACGTTTGTAGTCATGAGGCATGGCCTGAAGAGACCAAAGCAGCAGGGGGCTGGGGACGTGTGTCCCGGTCACCTGGGGATGTCCGCCGACCTCCTGGGCACCTCGCTCTTCGCCAACATCCCTGGATATAAGCTTGGCTGCTACTTCTGCAACGATGTGGTGGCCCCAGGAGATGTGAGTGGGTTTCACTGCACTTCCTAATGTTCCCCACGACTACCTCGTGCACTGGGGCCCAGAGCCACCCCCCACCACCACTTGTCACTGTCCAGGTGCTGCCTTTTAACAGGGTGGGGCACGCTCATCCTGGCAGGAGCCTGGATTGGCACTGTGGGTCGTGCCTTGTTCTGTAGTACAAATGCCATTGGGCAAAGCTCAGCCAGGAACCCTCACAGCCTGGGCTCCTGACAGCACTCTGCATTGCCTCCTGGGCCTGCCTGGGCAAAGAGTGCATTCAGTGTGAGGAGTCCAATGCCCCAGGTCTTGATACCCGCCCCGGGCCTTCCTAGCTGGGTGCCTAGGCAGCACCCTCTCGTTGCTCTGCAGAATGTGAGTGGGTATGGGTTTGTGGGACTCGGTCTGTAAGTATCAGTGTGTCCCATGCAGTGTGCAAGACCTACTTACACTAAGGAATTATTGGGTGTGAGTCTGAGACTCAACTTGTGAACTGTGCGCCTTGTATTTTTATCTGGCAACACAGTAGAAGGGGAAGAATGCCTGCCCTACCAGCTCAGGTGCACACACAGGTGTGACACTGGGCGGATGTGACATACTCTCGCTTTCCTGGAGCCTCTGCCCTCCAGTCCAGAGGAAGGGGCTTTTAGCAGAACTGAGAATGATTTGCAGGAAAGCAAACAGAGGTGTTGCTGCACCCCCTCCTGGCCAGCAGAGTACACAGCCCGCTGCTATTTCAGCCTTGCCAACCATTAGACCACTGCGGTAATGAAATTTTCTGTTATTCCCCCAGCTCCAGGAGTTTCCCCAGAATCAGAAGCTTAGGGTTTCTTGGGTCCACCCGATGAAGGCTTGGGTTTGGAGCCCTGTTGTGGCCATGCCCCGGGACCCTCAGGTGGTGAGATGCCTCTGCTATGAGAGGCTCATGGGAAGACTGAAGGCAGCAAACTGGTTGCTAAGTTGTGGCCCCAGCCGAGAATGGCAGACCGACTCCTCTGCTCCGGTGAAATCACGCTTCTCTCTGCCACTGCTAATCTCTAGGCACAGGGAGTTGAGTTGGCCAAAGAGTCCTGCTGTGCTCCACCCATGAGCAGCTCAGCCTTCCTTTTGGGTTGCTAGTCCCATATCTTCTGGCTACTTAGGCTGCTAACCTTTTGTAGAATGTTGTCTCATTTGGTTATATTTTATTTGCCTTTTAAAATTTTTGTTGTTGTTTATTGGGGCCAATGTTATGGCAAAGTGGGTTAAGCCACCACTTAAAATACTTAACATTTTATATCTGAGTGCCAGTTCAAGTCCCAGTCACTTTGCTTCCAATGCAGCTCATTTGTTATGCACCTGGCAGGCAGTGAGTGGTGGCCCGAGTGCTTAGTTCCTGCCACTCACATGGAGACCAGGTGGAGTTCCTAACTCGTGGCTTCCATCTGGCCTGGCCCTCGCTGTCGCAACCAGTAAGGAAGTGAACCAGCCAGCAGAAAGTCTCTCTGCCTCTGTCACTCCGACTCTCATGTAAATGCACGCATCTTTAAATTTCTGTTTATTTGAGAGAGTGTGTACTCCTGTCCACTGGTTCATGCCCCAGGGCTGGACTGGGCAAAAGCCAAGAGCTGGGAACTCAATTCCAGGTCTCTCAGCTGGATGGCAGGAACCCAAGCACTTGAGGCATCGCCTGCTGTCTGCCAGGGTGTGCATGAGCTGGACACTGGAATCTGGAATGGAGCCAGGCTTCCAACCCAGACACTCCACTTGAGATGCCTGCAGTGTCTTATCTGCCAGGCCCAGTGTCCACCTGCTCTTCATCTCTTTGCTCCCAGCTGGTGATTAGATTTACAGCTGGCTCTGCCTTGCTGACCCTGAGTGCTGTGCTCAGCTTCCCGCACACACCAATGGTTGTTTCTCCACAGTCCACTCGAGACCGGACCTTGGACCAGCAGTGTACCGTGAGCCGCCCGGGACTGGCCATGCTTGCCGGCGCGTTGGCAGTGGAGCTGATGGTTTCTGTTCTGCAGCACCCAGAGGGGTGAGTTTGCCACTTGGAGACAGTGGTTAAGCCAAAGACTCGGTGTGGAGCGTGGGTCGCTGTGTATCTGTGTTGTCCCCTGGGATCTTCTGTCTGATTCCTCTGTGGATTTTAGTACTCTTCCTGTGCTTAGAAAATAGGACTGTAGTGCCAGTTCTGCACCCTTCTGCAGTTGAATCTTGACTTACTTGGCAACTCATAAAAAGGAAGAATAAAAAAAAGGGCAGTGGCCTTAGGACTTTCGTGGTCTGACCCTCTTAGTCCTGGACGTTGGTAGGGCAGCCCTTGACACGTTCTGTAAGAAGCGTCTTCAGCACCCGTAGAGACCCATGACCTCACTGAGTGAGGCTTTATCTGCTTTGCCAGCAGTTTAGAGAGGAGCGTTCCAGAACCAGCTCTGAATGGCCATCAGGGATGCACGTTGCTTCCTGCTGTTCTCTCATCTGCTTGGAGCTTTCATGCTTAGGAACACAGGCATGAGCTGGCTGCTGTGGCTGCACTTTGCTTCTGCATTCCTGTTTAGGAGAAAGGCATGAGTAGCAGGTCAAAGCTGAGAGTTGACTCTACCTCCTCCTTAAAGATTTTATTTATTGTTGAAGAGGCAGAGAAGGAAGAGAGAGAGAGCGATAAGGAGAAGGATGCCCTGCCCACGTAGTCACTCCTCAGATGCACACGGTGGCTGGGTGAAGCCAGGGGCACCATCTGGCTACGCCACATGCGTGGGAGGAACCTAGTTACACCTGAGCCGTCCCCGCGGCCTCCCGGGCTTGCATTAGCAGGAAGCTGGAGTCGGAATCAGAGCCAGGTTCTGTGATACCTTAACTGCTAGGCTTATTGCTCCCCCTAAGTTTGCCTTCTTTCAAAGAACTTTCCAGAAATGCGAATCTGCTGATTCTAACTTGTATCACAAGGACACTCCTGCCTGCCAGAACAAACAAAGAAAAATAGAACTGAGAGTAGAGGGTCGTGACACTTTACCTCTGAATACAGAGGCCAGACTGTGAGAAGCTAGAATGGATCTGCCACAGTGCCCACACATTTCTTAAAATCCTTTCTGTATTTCAAACCCTGGGAGTCTTTGGAATTCACTTGGTCTTGCTAGCTCTTTTTGGCTTTTGTTATTTGTGAGTTGCCAGCCTGCAGGGCATTTTCCTTCCTCCTGGTGAATCCCCTCAGCATTTCCTTGACAAACACCTAGTGGCAAGTCCATTTCCTTTTGTCTCTCTGGAAACGTCTTTGTGTTGGAGAGCGATTTCCTCCTGCCAGGTAGACTTGTAGATGGAGAGTCCTTTTCCTCCAGCACTGGTAGAGTTGAATGCAGTGTATGTGGCCGCCTCTGTCCTCCAGGCTGTGAGCTGCTGGTCTGTCTGCCCCTCCTTGGAAGCAGTTCACCCTCCTGCCGTCCTCGTGGTCCCGGGTCATCCACAAGAAGCTCGCCTGTGCCGGGCCAACGTTAGTCTTTCTGACGGTGCCTGCCACGCCTCTCCCCTGCGCAGCCAGCTGCAGACCTTCCATCGCGAAGGTTCTCGGTCGTCCTCTGAGACCATGGCTCTTTTCTTAGGCTTCGGTTGCCAAGTGTCCTGCAGGGCATTTTCTGATTTTTAAAATGTTAATCCATTTTAATTTTGTGTGAAAGGCGGAAGGTCAGAGACAGAGATCTTTTATCCATACATTCAGTGATTGAACACCCACAATACCAGGCCTGGACTACAGGAAATCCAGGAACCCAGAACGGTCTGCGCCACGTGGGCAGTGGGGACCCAGGGCTTTGAGCCGTCATCCACTGTCTCCCAAGATGCATCAAAAGCAGGCACCCCCCGGGCCCGGTGCGGTGGCCTAGTGGCTTAAGTTTTCACCTTGGATGTGCCAGGATCCCATATGGGCACCAGTTCTAATCCTGGCAGCCCCACTTCCCATCCAGCTCCCTGCTTGTGGCCTGGGAAAGCAGTCGAGGACGGTCCAAAGCCTTGGGACCCTGCACCCGTGTGGGAGACCCAGAGGAAGTTCCTGGCTCCTGACTTCAGATCAACTCAGCTACAGCCATTGCGACCACTTGGGGAGTGAATCATTGGACAGAAGATCTTCCTCTCTGTCTCTCCTCCTCTCTGTGAAGCTGACTTTGCAATAAAAATAATAAATAAATCTTTAAAAAAAAAAAAAGCAGGCACTCCCACAGGGGCTGCTGCCACCTCAACCACTGTGCCCAGTGCCCACCCCTCTTTTCGCATGGTTTTTTTTCCCTGCTGTCCTATTTCCTGGCTTTTAGTCATGCACAGCTTATCTCCTAATATGCCTGTTACCATTTTTCTTCAGTTTTTTACTATGGAAAAATTCACATAAATATTATGAGTTTATATTTATGTGATGTAGCATATCAGCAGTATTCAGATGTATGTTGTGTTATCGTGTGTACCCTCCGGTTGCCTTAGCAGTTGCGGACACAGGGTCATTTATCTGTACTATTAGCCATACTTTTTTTCTCCTCCCACTGGATTCTTTGAAAACAAATCCTGGATGTGGTATTTTATTTATAAAAATGTCTTTGCTGGATTTAGCTGTACTATTTTAACATCTGAAAAATTAAAGAAATGAGTATCGCCACATATCCTGTGAGTACAGAAGCCCCTGCAGTTCCCTGGTGGCCAGGCTGCTGGCTGGACTCACGCTGCTGGCCAGGCTCACCTGCAGGCCCCCTGGGACACCTCGATCGGGGTGGGCTCCCTGGGCCTCGGAGGGTGTGGTCCACGGTCTCTGCTGTGACTCCTACATTTGGCTTCAGCCCTGTGTCTGCCCTGTGGATGCTCTGCCTGCACTTCTGCAGGATGGTAGTGGCTGGTGGGGAAAGGACCCTCAAAGGTGCCTGGCCCACCTGGCAGGCCCACTCAGTCTACAGGTCTGGGCTCCGCTCTGCTTCCCATCTTGGTAGCTCTGTGCTGCTGCCAAGCAGAAGGGGCCACGCTTCGTCTACAGCTTTTGTTTGTGGTCAGCAGTAGGGTCCGTCCTGACCACAGTGGAGTCTTCACGCATCGTGATTCACTGAGCACTCACGGTGCATGAGAACTGTGAGTGAGTGGAGAGCTGGATGAGCTCCACTCCCACTGTTAGTCCCGTTTTTGGTGGGGAGAGCGAGGCTTAGGGAGCCAGGCTGGACGCTGCTGAATAGGAGGGCTGGGATTTTGCTTGACCAGTGCGTGTGACAACAGGCTATTTTGACCACAGTGCTGTGCTGTCAGTGAGACAGGCTGGAAAGAATCGAGTTTTAAATATTTGTTTTCCAGTTCTCAGAAAGTCAGTGTGTGCAACCGGGATATTGCGGTTACCATGCCACTCGAGCTTCTCTGGTCTCCGCACTCTTGTGGCTGCGGACATGACTGGCCTAGAAGCCGAGGGTCACTTGAGTGTGAGCAGCCATTATGTCTTTTCCAGCCTTTGCCATCTGCCTTAGCTGCCCCTCTTGTTTCTGTGTCATGACACCTACTGACAGGAAAATTTTGAGATCCAGAGTGTGAGAACTGGTTGACCTGGCCTCTGTCTGCCTCCTTCCCCAGCGCTGGGTTCACCCTGTCCTGGGCGGGTCTCTCCTGGGACCGAGGTGGGTGTCCCACTGTTGTTCATGGACAGGGACACTAAGTAATTTATCCTTCCTCCACTTCTGGAGCGTTTGTATCCTCTCAGGAAACTGGGTTTTCTGCTCCAGAGTCAGTGTAGAAATGCGTGACGGTGTTCTGCAAGATCATCTTGGAGCAAGAGACCTGGTGGTTATTTGCTTCTCATGCACCAGGTGCCATGCCAGGCCGATGCCTAACACTCTCCTAGTTGGTGCCTCTCGCCATGTTCCCGTCTTGGAGATGGGCTGCCTGACGCCCACAGGAGCTGAGCTGCTTGCAGAGGTTACAAGCTGTGGTCTTTCCAACTCCAGACATAGCCTCTGTCTTCTGCCCTCTCTCCTGGGGACACTTGGATTTGGCTGGCTTATGCTGCCAGGCCAGGGTGTTTGGATCAGCCTCCCCCTGCTCCACCGCCAGCCGCCCAGCTGTCCTCATGTGGGTTCTGCATAGGTGTTTGTGATGCCAGCAGCTCTCATTTGCTCTCCTCAGGGGCTACGCCATCGCCAGCAGCAGCGACGACCGCATGAACGAGCCTCCAACCGCCCTTGGCCTTGTGCCACACCAGGTTAGTGTCGGGGGAGTGGAGCCAGGGCCCTGAACCCTTGGCCCCTAGGGGCAGGATCATCGGTCTCCTGCTCCACCAGGGCAGCCCATTTCCAATCCACCGCATTCCCTCCTCCAGCTGGAGAGCCAGAAGTGTTCCAGTCTGTGGGCTGGGAACAAGGAGGCTGTGTGAACAGGGGCTCAGAACCATCCTGCAAGTCTCCCATTTAGTCACATGCTGATGAGCAGCCTCATTGCGTAGTGAAAGAGAGCTGGCCCGGAATGAGCCAGCCTATGGCTTAAATCCCAGGCCTGCAGCCAGGTGGTCTCCCCTGGCCAGGCCACTAAACTTCCCCGAGCCTTCATCCCTGCTGCTGTGAATAGCAAGAATGCCGTGTGGTGGCTGTAGAGACGGGGAGCAATGGGAAGAAGGGCTCACACACAGTATGCAGTGTGGGCCCTTGGTAGGTGCCACCTGTCCTGCCATGGCCAGTCACCATTCTTACTTGACCCAGTGGAGAGGCTTCATGGGCTGGTCGTGAGAAAACCCTTGGGAGCGTGCGGCATCACCACAAAGCAGGATTTGTTTTCAGGAGGAGAATCCAGGGCATTGTCAGGAAGCTCTATCCCGTTAGGGTGGCCAGGGGCCAGAGCAGGGTGAGCCTGTGGCGCTCACGCAGCCCCTTTAGAGGCCTCCCTCACTGCTTCTACGGAGGAGCCAAGAGGCGCCCCAGTCCAGCCTCAAGTTCTGTGCGTGGGTTTCAATCTGAAAAGTGAATGCTGGCTCCGCCAGTGCAGCCTTGACCTTGTCCCCAGTCTCATCTGGGCACACTCAAGGACACACAGAGAGGAGCAGGACAGCTGACCCCACTCTGGCTTGTTTCCCTCTGTCCACCTTGGCTCTCTGGGGCAGCCTCATCACTCTCTGGTGGAGGATGACCTTCTGGTGGTGGAAGGACTTGTACCAGGTCACACATGGAGCCCCAATCCAAACCCAGATCTTGTCTGAGTGTAGAATCAAACAGAAAGCAGGAGAAAAAGATCTTCCATCCACCAGTTTACTCCCCAGGGCTAGACCAGGCTGAAGCCAGGAACCTAGCACTCCATCCTGATCCTCCGATGCAGGTGGAGGGCCCAAGCACTGGGACCATCCTCTGCTGCTCTTCTCAGGCATATTAGCACAGAGCTGGATCGGAAGAGGAGCAGTCCTGGCTGCTCCGGCATGAACTGGGATGCTGGTATTGCAGGCAGCAGCTTAACGTGCTGAGCCATACCAGCCCCCAAACTTGGCCTTCTGATTGGGGTTTTCTGGCACTTCTGTGAGTGGACAGAGCCTTGGCCTGCGTGTTGGGGAGCCTAAGCTTCCGGTCACTGCCCTTCTGTCTTGAGCTCACCACCTGCAGTGAGCCATCATATTGTATCTCACAAAAAACAATGCTTTACTTTGTGGCCAGGCTGATGGCGGAGGAGGCCTTGTAGACCCCAGATGCCCCACACATGTGGCTTTCTGCAGCTCCGCGCAAGCTGGCCTCTGTTTGACACCTCTGTGATGCTTCCGCACCGCAAATTCTGAAGCAGGCCCCACCGACCCTGTAGTGAGCAGTGTCTCTCACCAGGCAGCTCACTCCCTGGTTGCCCTCCGCCCTTCTGGGCCCTGCATCTCACTTAGGCCCGTGCCAGTCTCCCTGTCTTCCCCTGACTTGGGGATGCGCTCCCCTCTGAAAAGGGCCTGGATTGAATGTGCAGCCGCGTCCTTGCAGCTCCAGACCTCTGTGTTAGCTCGCTACACTTGTGCGTTTTTTGGTGCCAAGGCCTGAGGGCAGAATGGTCCCCTTGGAGTAGAGACCAGCGTCAAATGCCTGTGCCCGTGTTTTCCGACTGCTATGGCAACCAAGCCCTCCTGCCAGTGTTTGTTACCCGCCAGCCCTCCCAGTTCTCTCCCTCCTTCTCAAATGTTGGAAGGATATTTCAGTGCTTGGCCACATCTTTATTGTGGCCTCTCCAAGACTGAAGAATACAGCACGGCCATATATGGGAAAAGTCCCGTGTGCGTGTGTGTGTGTGTCTGTGTGTGTGTGATTACTCATATTATTTCAAGTTACAAAAGCCTTTATTTTTAGCTCCTTTCTAAAAAAGAAAGCGGAAACAACTTTGCAAATCAGTCAGCATTGTGTGGTCCCCATTTATAGGCTTCAGACAGCTTCTTTGGAAAGCCCAGAGCGGAGCGAGTCCGCGGACGCCCCTGTGTGTTGACAAAGGGAGAGGTTGTCTCGGTCATCTCCACCAGGACACTGGGCTGTGTCGCAGTGCCCATTGCGGACTCCCGAGACAAACTGCACAGCCTGAGCAGGCCACTTCATGTGCTTTGTATGCGGAGAACGGCCGGCCAAGTTCCCAGGCTCAGTCCTTGTAGGTTCCCCAGAGGAGATTTATTCACTGCCTGAGAGCCAAGAGGAAGAGTAGAACTGGGTCGTGTCCCGCAGCACGCTGAGACCCGCAGGCCCCCGCCTGCCGCTCACTGTGTGACATGGAGAAGGCTGCTGGACACCGTGTGCCCTCTGCCGCCTGCTTGCTCTCGGCCTGGACTGCCCACAAGCCTGAGGACTTTTCAGTTGTCCTCTGGGGGCCCCGCAGGCGGAGTTTGGCGAAGTACGGAAGAAGTTGTAAGTGGGTCCCTGAGACCAGCAGATTTCTGACTGAGGGAGACTGCCTATTGAGTCTGAAAACCATGAAAAAAAAGCCATTTTAGGTGAAAAACCAGGCTTAGGGGCTTTTCCCTTCGAGCCCAGTGTCTGTGGCATAGGGTGTGTGGCGACCGCCTGAGGATGAGCCCCATCCTGCTGGGCGGAGAGACTTCCAAAAGTCATTTCACCGGCGCATGGAGTGCACTCAGCTCATCACACGGTCCTCCAGCGGTCCCGGAATGATCACCACGAATCAGATGTGCCCTCATGCTTCTTCACACGGAGCACCTCCAGGCTCGGCCGCACAGGAGACGTTTCTCTGCTTTGGCATTTTCTGGAAACAGGGTCACCTGGTGTGCCCTCCGGTGCTGGCTGCTTTTGTAGGGAGCACTTGGTCCTGGTAGAGCTAGAGCAGCGCTGCTGTTCTCCCTGCTTGCTCTCAGCCCGGATCTTTGACTGCTGGCTGCCGATGGCGGCGAGCTCTGCAGGGCCGGCTGCTTGCTGGTTCTTTGGTGGGAGTCGCAGGTCTGCAGCAGAAGCCCAGGCCACTCCTGGTGTCTCTGGGAAGAAATCCTGCCCATGAGGGGAATTAGCAGCCCGCAGGCCTGCCAGTCCACTGAGAAGGGTAAACACTGGGCACCCAACGGCTGCCATCCATGCCGTGCGAGCCTTAGTATAGCAGGTGCCCAAGCCCTGTGCCATTTTGTGTCTTTTGAGTCAATGTGCCACTTGGTTCTAATGATGAAGAAGGAGCCAGAGTGCGGGTTCCCTTCTCTGGGATTGGACCAGCCAGCTTCTCGCAGGCTCTGAAATTCTTTTGTAGAGTTCAGTTTCAGGAAGTGGGACAAAGGCAGAACCAGGACAGGGTGTCGGGTAGGCTGTGGCCTGGTGCACCTGTCAGATTGACGCTGAGGTAAGCCATGGGCCCCGGGGTCTTGGCCTGCTCACACTGTGCCCCCATGTCCTCAGGCCTTTTCCTCTCGCCCAGCTCATTACCACCCAGCCTGGATGTTCCGGAGGGGTTTTGGAAGAGGGGCACGGAGTACATCTCCACAGCCCTCCACACTCCCCTCTCCTGGCCCTGCACCCCTCAGGACGACGGCAGCAGAAACGGCCAGGAAAGTGGGCACCCCAGCCGCTGTGACTTGTGACCCCTTTGTCCTGTGTCCCTCCCCATGTCCAGCTGTCTGCTTTGCACATGGTGCTGACTCCATGCCAGGCATTGTCAGGCTCAGGGAAGGGAAGTGGCTGGCACAGGGCCTGTTTCCTTCTGCTGTCCTCTGAGGTGTCCCTCCAGCCACTTGGATGTGCCGGTCAGATGCCAGCAGGGAGGCCCCGAGTCTCCACTCCTCAAGGCTGGACACTTTCTAAAGAACAGAGGTTTCTTCAGGTCCACTGTGGGGACTGAAATACCACTGAATCCACCCTGGAGAAGAAACACCTTGAGTTGAAGGGCCGAGCGTGGGCGGCCTGGCTTCAAAGTAACCCCCAGCCACCAGGACTACCTGGGATCCTGCAGGAACTTTGTTAATCCCTCTGAGATCACATCTAATGGCCTTACTTCAACTTCCACCACACTAGGGACCAAGCCTCCCCACCAGTGACATGGGGTAAGGTACAGCGAGGCCTGTGTTTCCTTGTGAGCCCGTAGAAGGAAGGGCCGGGCCGGGCTCTAATGACAGGTGGCCTCAGAGCTCAGAAGCAGAGCAGACTGTAGCTCAGCTCTCGCACTAGGTGGCATCACTTGGTCCCCTAGCTGAGCTGTCCACTGTTAGGGGGCTCCATGTGGGAGCAGCCTGAAGGCTTTGTGGTCATACACATCCAACTGGGACCCCAGCTTTGCCTCCAGTTTCACCCATGCATCCATCACCTCCTCTGACAGGAAAGTTGGTGTCAACTCTTGCCACTTGTCACTCAGAATTTGGGCAGGTTCTATGTCTTCTGTGAACCTGCTGTTCATCATGTACTAAATTCCTGGGATCCAGTCACAGTCCATTTCCTAAAGCCTAGCCTGGTCTGGACGCACAAGAGAAACTTAAGGACGTTGGTCTTGGGTGTCTCCTTCCCTTTTAATTGAAGGGGAAGTTTATCCCACCTCCTGAAAAGGATTAGAGGACCTTCTAGAACTCCAGGAGTGGTGAATGGGCAACGGTTTAACTCTCTTCGGCATTGTTTTCCTGAGGACACGACCAGCTCATCCCCAGCTTAGTGCTTGTGCCACCTTGGGGACTCCTGGTCACTGAGGAGAGGCTGGTTGCTGGTGGTGGCCAGAGCTGTTACTGCTGTGGTGTGCCTAGGGTTTCGGCCTTGCATTTGATTAGGATGTTTTTCAACATCTGAGATTGACATGGAGTTTAGACTGCAAACTCTGAGCTCTAGAATGCTTGCCAGGTTGTCTGGAAGCAGCCGGGCACGGTGCGGCTGCAGCTGTGCCTTCCCAGAGCGGCTGTTCACTGGTGGACGTTGGCTCTTAGCTTGGGTGACCCTGGCCGGGTGATTTGCCCTCAGCATCAGTGGAAGTGATATGAGGCTGCGGCGGTACTCAGATCTGTGGGTTTTGTAGTCAACATGGCAGACCTGATGGCAGATGAATGAAGCCACCTGAGGCGGGGAAGCCCGCTCGGGTGTTTTCTCAAGACCCCTGCCCTCCCTTCCTTCGTTTAGCTCTCCCTGGTGTTTCAGTGTTTGTAGCCAAGCTTTAGTGCCAGGAAGAACAGAATTCAGACTCCTGCCTTTGTGGCTTGGTTGTAAAACCTTGGGCCAGCCTGATTCCTCACCAGAGCTGGGATGCCTCCTGTGGCGAGTGCAGCAGTCACACAGGACAGTAGTGGGTAAAGGTGAGCCACCGTCGCTGCCCTCAGAGGACAGCAGTGCTGGGCCCCATCCCTTCCCTGCACCGGGCTTTCCCACACTGGTCTGGGACACTCCTCCCTGCTTGGCGGCCAGAGCCAGCACCAAGGGGAAAGGTGCTTTGAGTCTGTGGAACTGCAAGACCTGAAACTGGCTGGACTGAAGCTGGGGGGCCCTGGCTGGGATGATCAGCTATTTGATCTCCAGCTCCTGGGTAGCAGGCAGCCACTGGAGGCTGAGGCTGCTGGAGGAGTTGTGAGAACTCTGCGACTAACACTGGGCTTATTAAGGCCTCGGTTGAAAGGCAGCCTCTCCTGGGGATTAGCACCTGACCTTACTTAAGAAACACCTCAGGAGCCATTTCCAATTGCACCTGTGCCAAGCCACTCAGCCTCTGCTTCCCCCTGCTGCCAGAACGCGCTCCTGTCGGTGGTGCCCTGTGGGACAGTGCGTGTCATCCTTGAGGTCTGTGAACACGGCTTTGCGTTTCGTGTGCTCACGCACCGCTTATGTCTGCCAAAGGACCTTCGATATCATCTCCTTGGTCCCTCACAGCCAAAGCAGGTGTCCCTGCGGGGGAGCCTGCGGGTGCTGATGAGGCCACAGGTGTGCCTGATGGAGCCCTTCTGCGCATGTGCGGTACTGCGCCGGCGCGCGGGGAGTTGTGCTCCGCCATGTTCCTCCTCCGCCCTGTGTTCCCTCACGGTGAAGCCAAGCTCTGTGAGCCAAGCTCTGGCGGGAGCCAGGGCCCCACTGTTCCCGGGACGCTGAGTGGCCAAGGTACGGCAGCCTGTTGTGGCTCTTCGAGGAGCCATCCTCATTGCCAGGTGTTTTTTATTTTTAACTACTCGGGGTGGCACCGACACACGTACTGCGGGGCCGCTTTAAGCAGAGAGGCTTTTCTTGGTCCTTGGGGGTGCGGCGGGGCACCTCCCGTGCACTGTGGCCTCTGCGCCGTGTTGGAAAAGCCAGGCAAGCTCGGTCACCTCTGACGGGCCTGTTCGTGTGATGAGCCGCTCGCCCGTCGCCTGGGCCCTCCCTGCAGCCACCATTTTGTTTCTTCCTCAGGTGATTCTTACCTGGGAGGAAAAAAGCTCCAGGTCAGTGTGCGAGGAGCAGGCGGGGTCTGGTCTGCGAGTGTCAAGGAGTAAACCTGAGGGGGCAGAGGATGAGGCAGGAGTAGCTGAGCGGAAGTTCAACAGTTGCTTGAAAACATTTTAAAGAGGAGGCGTGGGAGTGAGGTTACCATTTTCCCTCGTCTGTGTCACTGCTTACTGTTTTGTCGTAGAAAGTGTCTTAAGCTGCTGTGTATCCACCCTGTTCTGAGAGATGGTCCAGGGTAGCAGCCTGGGGCAGGAGTTGCGTGGAGGGGATAGGCTGGGTCCTGCACTGAGGAGGAAGCACGGGGACACGGTGACATGAGCCGGCTGGTGCGTGGTGCCCTCCGAGGCGGCGTGGTGCCCTCCGAGGCCGCGTGGTGCCCTCCGAGGCCGCGTGGTGCCCTCCGAGGCCGCGTGGAAGCAGGCCCAGGCTCCCGGCACGTCCCTAGACCAGCGTCGTACGTGAATCCTGCGTGCTGCTGCGAGTGAGGCTAGTCCCTGCAGTGTCCATCCCGCCTGGAGGGAGACACCTGGGGCTTGCTCGCGCCTGCCCAGTTCGGTTCCAGAGCTTGCTTCCAGCAAGGCCGACTTAGCAAAACAGCGCAGGCATGTTGTTCAGTGCCCGCAGCTCGCGTCTGAGAGGCAGGGTGAGTGGCTGCCCACAGGCTGGGCTCGGGTGTTGCTGAGCCGGGGCCTCTGCTGTGTGAACGTACTTGAGGGTTTGCTGCATTTAGACTGCACAGGTTTGGGTTGCCCTGGGATTTGTGTGTGCTGAAGGAAAGTTTTATTCGAGTTCGAAGTAGCCACCACCCACTCATTCAGTTTGCTGTGTTTCTTGTTGGACTTAGGGGTGTGGAGCCCGTGTGTCCGTGACCCTGAGAGGGCGGGAAAGGAGAAGGGGAGCGAGCCAGCCAACTCTGAGCTGGAGCTTTGTCAACACGAAACGGAACAGTTGGCAAGGTTAGATGGATTAATTCACGGGATGTATGTCTTACCTTATGTTGTCTTACTGTAGATGTGGACGCCTGTGGAAACTTTGAGTTTCGCCTTTAATATTCTTAATAAAAGGCTCTTATGATAGATTCCACAAGTTAAAAAGATACCTGTGTTGATGATCTGGTTAGGTATGCAGATACAAAATCGTGAATAGTTACAGCACTCGAAGTGACCCTGGGAACGGCTGATAAGGCCGAGGCCAGTTGTAGTACATGAGTGTGTGCACTAGGTGGTGCTGTTCCCCCATCAGCGCGGGGCCATGTCACACCCTTCCCCTGAAGGGAAAGATGGTGTGTGTCTGCCGGCCCTGGTCCCCGGTCTCTCTAGCCTCAGATCGCCCAAGTGCTCACCTGCCCCATATTCACCTGCCACTTCCACAGGAGAGACACCGCTTCTGTCCTGTCAGAGCCCGGGGTGCTTTTCCCAGACATGATATCCATCCCCAGCCTGATGTGAATTGTTCATTTGCTTTTCAGATTCGGGGATTCCTGTCCCGGTTTGATAACGTCCTTCCTGTCAGCCTGGCGTTCGACAAATGCACAGCCTGCTCTTCCAAAGTAAGCCATCCCACCTCTCAGGGCCCCATGGCTCTTGCTCCCACTGCAACCCTGTCACCAGAGCCCAAGAACCAAGCCAGGCCTTTGTGTGGGGCAGATATGGGGCCACCCACATGGAAACTTTGTCCTCCTCTCTTTGTTTTATTGTTACCAAGAAAACAGTCTGAGACGGGTTAACAGGCAGTGGGCAGAGAGAGTCTGCGTTGGGGGTCTCAGCTGTGGGTCAGGGTCTGCATCACGCCATTATGAGTGCGTCTCCCACCCTCTCCAGAGAGTTCCGCCTTGGCACGGAACAGCTATGAGGCCTGGCACCAAGGATGGAGTAGGGGTGGGGGAGCAGGCAGCACCCCGGCCGTGCTACCTCTGGAGATGCAGTGGCAGAGAAAAGGAAATTAGGGGCTTGGGGGGAGTGATGAAAGGGCCCTAGGGCTTTGATCTTCGCGGGGCTCTGAAAACAGAGCTGGGCAGTAGTGGGAACCGCCTGCAAAGCACCGAGCCAGTTATGCATGGATACTGTCTCCGAGGGGCAGTTTCCTGCTGGGCATCCACTCAGCGGCTTCACCTGCACCAGCCAGTGTGGGGGGTGGCACAGCCGTGAGCATTCTGGGCAGTTTCTGCAAGAATCGAACGCAGGTTTGGTGAACACTGTGGGTCAGCTTGGCCAGGTGTGGGTATTGCTCAAGAACATGTTTTTGCTTCAAACGGAAGCAGAACTTGCGCCGTTACTGCGCATTGCGGGCAGCAGTGCTGTGATGGAGAGCTGTCCTCGCAGGGAACGCTGCTCCCTTGCCTGGGAGGCCCCGTGCGACTCTGTAACGATGTGGGGCTTGTGCAGGGGAGTGTTCCCCCCTTTGAATGGCTGAGTTGATTGGTCTCTAAGGAACTTTCATGTTGGAACTGTTTGGCCCCATGGGGCCTGAGGTCTGTGGGTCAGTGAGGCCTGGACAGCTGGCTCCCTGACTGTGAGACCAGCCCCGCTCCTTCATCCTGGCTCTTCTCCTTCAGTCCACCTGGGGGCGCTATTGGTCTCACCCACCTGCCAGCTGGAGCTCCTGGTCATTGTTCTAGGAAGGGAATGGCTCTGTGTCTCTTCCACGCTCACCGTAAGTGTTGGATTAAACACAGGTATCATTTGTAACTTTTTCCCCCTCCCCTTTTGCTGGTACAATTATTTCCTGTTAGTGGTTATCCGGGAGCCCTGTTTTACAAAAACAGGCCACTCGCGCTAATGCAAGCTGACATGGGTGTTCACAGCCGCGCGATTCCCATGGTGATCGCGTTTCATGCGGTCTGGGTGTTGCGTTTCTCCCGTGCTGGAAAGCTCGCCTCGCTGCAGCGCACACTTCTTCCTGTTGCAGCACAGCGGCTGTGCCGGCCAGCTCCTGGCCTCGCACAGGAGACATTGTCTGTCTGCTTGGGGACCACAGACCAAGTCACCCTCCATCTCAGCCGGCCTCGGGTGCTTCTTGACGCATGCCCAGCATGGTACTTCTGGGTCGGATGACAGCTGTGACTGTAGCAGAAAGATTTCTGGGGCCTCGGAATGCCTGTAGCAGGGCCCCTTGGCAGTGGCGGTGGGGCTGCCGGCTTGGTCTTCGTCTAGTAGCCAGCCATCTTGCCTCCTCTGCGGGGAGCAGGCTTGCCTGTGTGTTCGCTGAGGCACAGAGATGGGACAGGAAGCAAGCGCTGGCTGGGTCCCTGGCCAATGCCTGCTGTCCAGTGCCACCTCTCCCTCATGCACAGCCAGGGTACCAGCTTCGTCTCTGGGGAGAAGAATCAAAGTATCCTCCAGGGGCAGGTGGGCGGTGCAGTCACTTTTGTTCCAGAACTTTCTAAAGTGTGTTTTAGAAAAAAATCTCTCTTGGGGCAGGGCTGTGCCTGTAGTGCCAGCTTCACCTTAGGACTCTGGTTCGAGTCTTGGCTGCTCCACTCCTGACCAAGTGTCCTGCTTGTGTGCCAGGGAGGACAGCAGCAGATGGCCCAAGCACTCAGTCGAGTGAGAGACCAGGATGCAGTTCCAGGTCGGCCCAGCCTTGACCTTGGTGGCCATTTGGGGAGTGAACCAACGGATGGATGTCTCTCACTCTCGCTCCGCCCCTCTTCCTTATAACTCTTTCAAATAAATAAGCCTTAAAATTCTTCTATCCTAACGCAGCCTGTCTTCCATGAGTTCTACCATGTGTAATTTTGGAGACAGAAAAGCAAAGTGTAGGTTTGGGAGGAAGGGTCGGAATCTGTATGTGGTCGTGTGTTTGTGTTGTGTGCTGTATGTACTGTTTGGGTGGGGTGTGTGTGTGTTGTGTGTGTGGTATGTGGAGTATGTGGTCTATATGGTGTGTGGGGTCTGTGTGTTTGTGTGCTGTATGTGTGTTCGGTTTGGGTGTTTGTGTATGTTGCCTGTGTGTGTGGTATGTGTTGTGTGTGTGTGGTGTATATGGTGTGTGGGGTCTGTGTGTTTGTGTTGTGTGTGCGAACACACTCATCTGACATGCAGGTTCCTGCTGGGTGCCAAAGCAGCTGAGATGCTCAACCCAGCGCTGGGTCAGGGTTGGAGTGTGGCAGGTGGGACAGGCCTGGGAGCCAGTGCCGAGGCTCTCTGCAGCCAGGGCGCGCTCTCTGCTTTCACAAACTTGGAGGGCCCTGCAGGAGGTGTTCCTGGTGGGAGGACCTCGTGCGTCCTAGCCAGGCCCAGGGCAGCACGGTGCACCGAGGGGCCATCGGGCCAGTGCAGCTGTGTGGCCAGGCCTGGGCCTCAGCCCTGCCCGCTGCCCTCGCATCTTTGTGCTGCTGTGCAGCTCTTGTTGGAGGTGGAATCCAGTGTGCTGTGTCTGACACTGGAAGCTGCTGTTGTGAATTTGACAATTCCGTGTGGAACTCCTTCTCACCCAGCACTAGGTTCCAGGGCTTTCCCAGCCTTGGGAACCCGCAGCTGCCACTGTCCCGTAGAACCGGAGGGCAGGGGCTCTCCAGGCTCCTGGCCATGCCCTTCAAGGTGCCTTCCCCTGCGCCCCCAGTGTCGCTTTTGTCTCTTTGTTCAGTGAGTCAGCTGGATGAGATAAGCCCTGGCTCCCTGCTGACACTTGAAGTTATTAGCTTCCATAGTTTGTCTGTTTGATTCTTTGTTTCCTAAGCTGTGTGCTTTAATGACTGGAAAGAAATACATTTAGGGAGGCCGAGAGGCCCAGGGATTGCTCTTGGCCATCTGACTTAGCCGGAGCCCACGTGTGCACAGCGGTCATTTTTCTCCCCAAACGTCCCCACTCTGCACTTGGCTGCAGAGCCGGGTTTGTGGTGCCCCATCCAGGCGGCTCCCCGTGTCTCGGCTTCCAGTCTCAGTGGTCCACAGGGACTGGCCGCAGCCAGGCGGAAGAGCACCAAGGAGCGGGTGCCAGGAATTTCTGTGCGAAGCTTCCCAGTGGCAACTGTTACTCGAAATGGGGCTCTGGCCAGGTTTTTCTTCATCTTCCAGCGGGGACATAAGTCTTGATTGGGCGGTGATGAGTAACCCTTCCCCTCCCCCTCCACCAGGTTCTCTGCCTATCTCATCTACCCAGGGAGGCCCCGCGGCGTCTGTGTGAGCCAGTGATGGATTCCATATGTATGCTGGGTGGTGTCAACCATATCCCACATCTCCCTAGCAACTGGTGTTTCTGCAGTTTCCAGAATGGCTGTCCCCCCAGGAGATGGAGTCGTGGGGCCTGACCTCGGCGTGCTCAGCCCTCCTCCCCCTGCAAGGCCCTGACCTCAGTGCACTCGGCCCGCCTCCCCGTGCAAGGCCCTGACCTCAGTGTGCTCGGCCCGCCTCCCCCTGCAAGGCCCTGACCTCAGTGCACTCGGCCCGCCTCCCCCTGCAAGGCCCTGACCTCAGTGTGCTTGGCCCTCCTCCCCCTGCAAGGCCCTGACTTCAGTGTGCTTGGCCCTCCTCCCCCTGCAAGGCCCTGACTTCAGTGTGCTTGGCCCTTCTCCCCCTGCAAGGCCCTGACCTCGGCGTGCTCGGCCCGCCTCCCCCTGCAAGGCCCTGACCTCAGTGTGCTTGGCCCTCCTCCCCCTGCAAGGCCCTGACCTCGGCGTGCTCGGCCCGCCTCCCCCTGCAAGGCCCTGACTTCAGTGTGCTTGGCCCTCCTCCCCCTGCGAGGCCCTGACTTCAGTGTGCTTGGCCCTCCTCCCCCTGCAAGGCCCTGACTTCAGTGTGCTTGGCCCTCCTCCCCCTGCAAGGCCCTGACCTCGGCGTGCTCAGCCCGCCTCCCCCTGCAAGGCCCTTGCCTGCTGCTTCCTTTGCTTCAGTTTCCTCATCCACAGAGCAGGGGAAATGTTTTTCTGTTTCCCAGGAAAACTGCAGTGGCTGACGGGTGTCCAGTTCCTTGTGGCCACATTCCAGGGCCTTTGCCCATTCCTGGGACTGGTGTTGACATCAGAGAGGAGAGGAAAACAAAGACCCAGGGATGGCACCGTGTCCCCTGGGTACGTGGTTTTTCACTGGGTACCCAGTTGGGCCCTGACCAGGCACGGCGCGAGGGGCTGAGGCTGCTCTGGCTGTGAAAGGCCGTGGAAGCCTCGCGCCTGTGCCGCCTGCCAGCCACGGCCAAGACTGCTACCGCAGCTCTGAAGAGCTCGGCTTGCGTCAAGACCTGCTTGCCTGTGGCCACAGGTGCTTCCCCCCCTAGTCAGCTGCCGTTGCAAAGACGTGCCCAGCCTGCCTGAACTTGTTTTTTTTTCCTTACCCCTCTTTTTGTTTTTGATTATTATTTTTTTTTAAGATTGATTTTATTGGCTTGAAAGGCAAAGTGACAGAAACACAGGTTTTCCATCCTTTGGTCTTTTCGCTATCCCACAAGGCCAGAGCTGGGTCAGAGTGAAGCCAGGAACCAGGAAGTCCACCCCATGTGTGTGTGCAGGATACCAAGGACTTGGGCTTGTCTCTGCCTTCCTGGGCACCTTAGCAAGGAGCCTGATGGGTGGTGGAGCTGTGGAACCATTGGAGACTAGAACCAGTGCCCTGA